CAGTCCCAAAAAAGTGTGCAAAAATCTGCAGAATTTATATTTTTTTTAATCTTTGAGATGCATCTTTACAACTGTCCGAAAAATATCTAGTCCTGCCTGGTCAGTATCCTTGTAAATTTTAGCTGTCAAATGAAGCAGTTGGTAGCACAGATGGAAGTTGGGAAAGCTAGAGCTCATTTACGCTAATTTCTGCAGTGTTTCTAAATTGTCACTTGAAAATCACTGGTGATAAATGAGGGTGCACTGGGAGGGACTGATAGGATTGCCCAGAGTAGGACTTATTTTATTATATTTATATGCTATCTTTTCATTCAAGTTACTCAAGGCAGCTAACATAATGCTCCTCCTCCTCTTCGCAATCTTATCCTCACAACAGCCCTGTAAGGCAGACAGGGCTAAGAGTCTGTGACTGGCCCAGAGTTGCCCTGTAAGCACCACGGCTGAGTGGGGGCTAGAACCCAGATCTCCTGAGTCCCATATTCTTAACCACTCCATGCACTGGATTTCAGTTTTAAATCAAAGCAGGATATTACAGAGCCACAGCGATGTAGTAAGAACCAGTTGCTACATACAGCTTTAACTGTTGAATTCACCTGCTTTTCAGCAGTTCATCTCAAAATGTTCTGCTAAATTCCTGCACTTGTGTTTGCTGTTCCCATGGCAGCATGAGGCTGTTGAGTTTCCCTTCAGGCTACCACTTCAGTGTGCTGTGCTATGGGATACTCTGGGTCTTTTCCAGCACAGCTGTACCATGTCCAGGAGCTTAGTATTAGTGGGAGGATCCTTTTTTTAGTTCCTTATTGTTTCCCCCACCCTTCAGGTTCACCAGAGAGAGATGCCAACCCTTTGTCAACAAAGAGACCTGTTCAGAGTGCTGGATTGTATTTTTAGCCAAGCCAGATTCTTTTCTCTAGCTTCAAAAGTAGCAAGTGGGGAATGCAGCCTACATCAGTGCAGGCCTTGTAGAATGACCTCATTCAGGCTTTGGCATCTGTTCGAAGCAGAAACAATCATTTGTGATATCAGGAGATCAGAATTTTCCCCTTTGTTGTGCTAGTCAGAGTCCTTAGTAAACAAGTATAAAGCTCTTTTAAAAAACGTGCCTCTTCTGTATATGTTTACTATCTTGGCAAAACATGGTGAACTTCAGTGGCTGCAGTTTGGGTGTTTCACCTGTGGAACCCTATGGTCTTCTTTTGTGCAAATTCTTGGCTAGTGCACTGCATGAGCTGATTGTGCATCCAGAGCATGCCTTTGAATAATCATGAGTGCATAGACATTAAATAACAAGTGTCTGCTTCAGGTATAGCTAGAAATTAAAATGAAGTGGCGTGGACTGTGTATGAGAAGTGTTACCAAAGAACAATCCAATTTTATTGTGTGAGAATACTGGGTCTGTGAAGTTGTCTATGTTATTAGGAGCCCAAATTTGTCAGAGGGTTAAAAGAAATGCCTAGGAAAAGGTAAGTTACTGACTATTGCATTCCTTTCCCAGTCACCTAGTTTGCACAGCCTGATTTGAAAGTAACACTGAGAATTCCAGATTTTTAAAGTGCAAGTCTAGTTTTTATTCACATGGACTGAGTTTTTTTAAAGATGATAGCAATATATGTTTTAATCAGTCAAAGACAAGAAGTTAAGAGCAGAGGGGGAGCAAGAGCTGTGTATTGCTCCTTCCAAGATTCACATACCATTCCATATTTTAGTATGGAGATTCTAGAATAATGAACAATAAAAGACAAAAGAATAAAACAATATGTTAAAAATGAAATCAAGTAAAACCACAGTAGCCCTAAATTCTTGACCCTCTGCACCTGAATGAACATGCTTGGGCCATAAAATCAGCCACAATAGCCCTTGTCACATGACTACTAATAATGTCTTTTAAGTTGGTGGGCACAAGCAATAAGGCCCTTTTCTTTGTGGCCTTACCCTTATGAAATATCTTACTACAAGAGGTGCACTTGGCCCCCTCCCTGACTTTTTAAAAATAAACCTTAGAGACTTGGATATTCCAGCCAGCTGATCTGAATTTTATTACTGCTGTTAAAATATTTTTGTCCTGTTGTTTTAGTTGGTTGTGTTCTATATTTTATTGTCTTACAGTTTTATAAGCTGCACTGAAGAGGTGTCATCTTGATAATTTTAATGAGACTGTAATTAATTTCTAATAGGGAAGACTTCGAAAAGGCTCAACAAACATAGCGGGTATATTAACTATTGTTATGACTTCATTCATAAGCTGAACATTATGAAAGGCAGGAGCAATCTAGTTTCTTAGAGAATAAATGGACCAAATATTGGTTGCACATTCTGCCTTCTATCTTGGTCTACCAAGTGCTAGAGACTTGTTTTTTCTTCATATGAAAGCAGTAATCTAGAGAATATGGTATTCGGGGAGGAATAAGTATAACCTTTTGCCTCTTTCTGTAGATGCCTGTCCATTTCCAATGTCTGGTTTAAACTATGGTTGGTGAGAACAAACCAGTATTATGACTTGTCCTGAAACCAGAAGTCTATCACAGAACCATTTCATGTGTGTTTTCATGGAGAACTATGGTTAGTTTTTAACCTGAAAGTAGGTGTGTCTGATCTCCTGGGGTACAAGCCTGTGATTCACTGTGACTTGTTCACACTATGGGAAACTGGTTTCCCATTATATCTGGACCAGGTTACTGTGGACTTCTGTTTTCTCACTACCTACCCACAATTAAAACTTACACAATTAAGTGAAAGGACTGGGAAAGGACAGAATTTTGGTCCTGCTGTCTAACAAGTTCTGTTAGACTTCCCTGAGCCTATTGGATTGCATGTGTCATTCCCCTCATTACTTATTAAATTATATGTAGGCAAGGGATAAATGGGCCTATTGTTAGTATCTTGAACCAAACTTGATTGGCTGCAGTAAATGTGAGCTTTATATGACTTGCCCTTGACCTGCATGAGCTCCTTTTGGACATAAAATGTTCTTGAGTTCTGTTGTGTTTCCAAGCTGATGAACTGTAGTATTCTAGTGAGAGCTGCCCCAGGGAGGGAGTCCAGAGGGGGTGGTCAGTGTTGGGGCCATAATAGGTTTGAAACTATGTTAACACACCCCAGCACAACACTCTATTGTTGTCCTCCACAACATAGCTTGTATTGTCCATTCCAGAATTCCATTTACATGCTGGGGTAGTGAGGAGGTGGGGCTCTGCTGAAGAAGAGAGTTCTCAGCTTGGGGATTCAGGCTGACAGTTTACTCTTTCTTTCTTAGAGCTGGTCTGATTCAGTGGCTAGAGGGTTGGAGACAGATTCCCAATTTGCCCAAAGCAGACTCATAGGAAAATCCTTCAATATTCTGTATCATATTTTATGCTAAGGTTTGGTTAATCTCCATCTGTCAAAATGGAATTACTGCTTTCTCAGTTTGAAGAAATATGATCGTATCCTCTGTTAATTTCACTTCTTTGCTCCAGTCAGTAGGCTGCAAATAATGTGCCATCTTCAAAAATTCAGTGGAGTGTAAACACCACCGATAGTCCTGCATGAGTATATAGGTGGAAAGCTATGGGGAGTATGTGCAACCCTGTAATAAAAATGCCCTAGAAGCAATTTTATCATATTTTAATAAATATTTAATATATTTTTGCATTGCTTTAAAATGAAATTTGAGTAAAATGTATGCATGCTGAAATATATACATTCATAGTATATTAGATCTGGATCCAGGAGCTCCTATTAAAAGCTAAAATCTGTTTGACTTTGTAGAAAAATGAACTGAAGCAAAATATATGGGGGTGGGGGGGTCAACCCGTTCTTTTCGTCCCATTCTGTAACCTCTAAGGGTTTTTTTTCCTTCTAGTGTCTGGAAAATTTGCTCATTATTTTAGAGGGAAATAGACAGATTTCAAGGGTGGGCACTAAATGAGGAAGAATACAGTAGGACCCCTGTATTCACAGGAATATGTCCAAGTCCCTGAGCAGATGCCTGAAATCACAGAGTAGGAAACACTGTTAGTCAGTCCTCCACATAAGCAGGGGTTCGGGGCATAGAATGTGCACACAAGTGGAAAAACCACAAATATCTCTAGGGGAAAAACCATGAATATCTTTGGAGTCACGTGAGTGAGGCTGGCTAGTACCAAGGCAAAGAACATGGCATCCCCAAACAGGAGGTGTGGTCCACAGTTCTGTGGTTCACTGAAACTCAAGAATAATCAAATCCACAAAAGTTAACCCTGCAAAAGTTGACATTCAGCTGTATTTAATTTTTTCGAATCATGGTCAGCCGCAGTTAAGTGAAACTGTGGTAATGGAAACAACAGGCATGGGGGAGTTTACTGTATAAGCAGATTTCATGGCTGGGAGGTAAATGGGATGGAAATATTGTCAAGTGCCACTTGGACATCAGTGGTGCAGCTGACAGCAGCATCAGGCTCAGGATCGAAGGAAACACAAAAAGGTTCTCAATCAGAGCAGGGAGGGGGCAGACAGATGGGTTCTGTCAGGTGCACTGTGGATAGTTCCATGAATAGCCCACACTGCCTAACCTTTTAGCAGGCTGGGTTGCATCTTGTGCAATCTCACCCACTCAGGATCCTCACCCCCAAGACTAATTGCGGTCAGCACTTTGTATCAGTACAGGTGGTAACCAAAGTCAATACACATCTCTTCTCAGTACAGGATCTGAAACTCAGTTCAGACTATTATTAGCACTGAGCTACTTAGTGGAACAGATCTAACGGAAACTTAGGTGGAAATGTATATTTTAGAAGAGAGGGTGGGTTGAGAACATGAAATTAAAGTCATTCCCAGCTGTAGGTCTGTGGTGGATACATAGCATAGGTATAGGTAATACATTTCTTCAAATAACAAGTGTGGGTAGGATTCCTACTTCTTATATAGGTTCCCCGTCACCTTTGTGGTTGGTGATTTCTGTTCTGTTGTCTTGGCTGCTGGATGCTGCCTTCTCCCCCTCTATCTATCTAAAGTTTTTAATGTGATGCTTTGTTTCTTTTCAGAGAAGCAGAGTCTTTCAAGGAGCAAGGAAACGCCTTTTATGCCAAGAAGGATTACAATGAAGCATACAACTACTACACAAAAGCCATAGGTGAGGATGAACAGGAAAAGGGCTTGAAGGAAGGGTTGCTTTTTTAGCAAAGAGCATGCAGTAAAACTACTACTGCCCTACTCCCACAGGTATCATTTGGCCATGGGGATACCTTGGTGCTGACCAGAAAGGCTTTGATTTCCTTCTATCAAATGTCCCTACTTCTACTCTGGTCTGCCATGTATTTGCCCCATTTCCAATTAGGCAGCCCATACAGGGCAGATTTCCACAACTCAGTCCAGCATATTGGGAGTCCTATAATATGTTTGTTGTATCAAGGCATCACTCTTCCTCATGCTACACTGTTATTCTTAGGAGCCAGGCCATTATATTGAAACTAATATGCAATAAGATACTGGTCTGATGCCTGGTAGTGTCACATGCAGAAGTATAAAATTTCAGAGTCCTGAGCATCTGTTTTACATACCACAAACTTCAATTTGCTAGCCTTCATAGTGGTGGAGAACCACTTGAAAGACATCTGAGTGATACTTGGCCAGGTATCCAGAGTGTCTCTTTCATGAGCACTTTCGCTATGTAGACCTCCCCAGTGATTCAGGTCTCACTCCTCTTTATTGCACCATTTCTGTACTACTTTCTGGTTATTTATCTGCCTATGATGAAGGCACACATCTTGAAATAAGTGATATCTACCAATTGCTTTTTGCAGCTTCATAGAAGCTACTCAAACTTTAACTGGCAAAGAATATGCAACAAAACTCTAATCTCCTGGCATGTCTTGTAAAAGTGGGGCATCTTCTTGGCAGATTTGAGGCAGAGTAAATGTTTCTTCAGTTAAAAGACATCAGTTCTATCAGTTCTTGCTTTTCTGCTATAAAGTACAAGTTGAATTGCTGTACAACTCTCCACCTCATTTGGGAAAATTTTAGATATGTTCTGTCCATGCTAGTATGTGAGGAATGCCATGACGCTGCCAAAGCTTTTCCCTCCCTTCCCCATTCTTTCCCACTGCCTTTTGGGGGGGTTTGGTTCTATTTTCCAGAATTGTGCAGCTCTGGAAGATTGCAGGTCTGCTATTATGATGGACTTCCCTCTGATTGATTGTTTATAATTAGTGAAAAGGGGCCTGTGTTTTACTCCCATGTAAGCATGTGCTTCCACCCCACCCACCCCTTTTTTTCCCATTCCTTGGCTGCAGCCAGCCACCTGCTTTTTCTCCCTTTCACCTGCCCTGGACCACCACCTCCATTCTCCTTCCCAAATCTTTCCTTGGGATGGCAGCATGAACCTCACCTTGAACAGAAGCAGGGCTCCCAGTCAGCTCCACAGTGCAGCTGCCATTCAAATTGGTAGTGCCTGAAGGGGTAGGCGTGAAGTGGAGCCAAATGTTGACTAATCTCCCAAGACAAGTCTAAACACAGTTCAGGAAGTATGAAGGAACCCAAATAGTAAGTATCTGATCTTCTAAAGTGTGCACCCAAAGTGGAATGAATAACAAGGCAAAAAACCCCTCACATTTATTTTCTCTGCACCTCAAAGCCCAGTGTGCGCTTGCCCGTGGACTCTTATTTGCAGAGGGTGCTGACAATAAAGCAAAAAACTATTTACTGCTGTCACAGCAGAGAAGGTGCAATCCGTTTTGAGTGAGGGAGAAATGCAGCAACTGGCTGGCATGAAGTGATGAAAGCATGCCACACACAGCACAGTCAGACCCCCACAAAACTGCAAGTTCCTGGATTCAGGTGGCCACACCACCGTTTTTTGCATAAAGCGTATGAGAAATGTAGGAGAAGCAGGGTGGGGAGGAATGGGATGACACAGGACGACTGCAGGAAACCGACAGTGCAATGTGCATGCAGGCTTGAACAATCCTGCAAGAAAGGCAAGCCAGCAGCACCTTCAAAGCACCATCTGGAAGAACCAAAAGATGGGGGCTTGTATTCTGTCTCTGTACTAACAACGCTCCTGTTATATCATCTCCTCTAGATACATGTCCAAGTAATGCCAGTTACTATGGGAACCGAGCTGCCACTCTCATGATGCTGGGCAAATTCCGGGAAGCACTGGGGGATGCCCAGCAGTCCGTCAGGATGGATGACAGCTTTGTGAGGGTATGCGGTCCTATGTGTGCAACTCCTCTGGTGCTACTCAACATTTGCAATGCATGCTACAAAGGGCTTCCTTTCTCCCCTGTCTTCTCAGGGACATCTACGAGAAGGAAAATGCCACCTATCTCTGGGGAATGCCATGGCTGCCAGTCGCTGCTTCCAACGGGTTCTAGAACTGGATCATAAAAATACACAGGCTCAGAAAGAGGTAAGACTTTCGAGGCTAGGTTTGCCTTTGACTAAATGTGAAGTTCCATTTTCAGTTCCAGTTGGAAAGCATAACTTTATAATTTCTAGCAACCACTTCACACACAGAAGTGTGTGTGATATAAGATAACAAGTTTATCCTCTTATCTCAGCTAAGGTGGCTAAGATACTGCAGACTTTTGCCTGGTAAAGATGCATCCACGTTGCCCTTACAAGAACTTCTCTTTGAATCTGCTTGAATCTCTTCTTGAAATAATAGTTTTTCAAACTAGGCAAGACATGACTGGTAATACTTAAACATGTTTCTGGATGGGAAATGGCTCCAGAAATGTGTATCTTCTCTGTTGCTCCTTCCCTTTCTGGTGTGGATTCCTCTCCCATCTGTCTTAACTATCAACCACTTTAACCACAAGTAACCAGAGTTGGGAAACCATGCTTTGAACCTAATTTCAAACTCCTGGTTTTTATATACCCTGGCAAACGTAAGTTGTTAATGAGATCATTGTCAGTATAAGCCTTGTGCGTGGTTAAGGTTTGTAAGTAGAATTTTCTCATGGAGAGAAGGGGCTGTGGGAGGAAATAGACAAACCTACCCATCCTTTAACCGTGGTTTTTGATTAGTAAAACTTAGCATGCACAGTTATTCCCTCAAGTGAAGGATGCCATCAAGCCTCAGATAGGCTCTGTTTCTGTGGCCAGAAAGCATTTTCCATGTCCATCCTCCCAGAAGCAAGGCCTCCTCTAGGAGCTCCAATTTTTTTCCCTGCCTATTGGAAGGTGGCTATCCCAGAGAACCTTTTTTATTTTTTAAAGAAAGAGGGAGCAGTGAAGCCCCAAGCAAATGGAGGGAAGGAGCATCCAGTAGCCTTTAGTGCCTCATTTGTCTTGCATAGGACCAGAGGGTAGTAGAAGACTTGGCCTCTGTCCACCTTTTCTTCCTGCCACCAAAGCAGAAGGCTGCAAGAGCAGTCATCAGGAAGGCAGCAAGAGAAGAGCTCAGTGGTGATAGTGGGCCCATGAAGGACCTCCTGCCTTCCAGACAGCAAGGGGAGTGACCCGGTGGAGTCACTGTCCAAACCCCTTCCCCATTGCTGTCCACACATGGACAGCAATCAGACCAGCCCCCACCTGGTGCACTGAATTCAGCAGGTAGCCTACCCACCAGGCACATAGCTGGAGACAGCCCTCCCAGAGCATGGAGAGACAGAACAGGGTCGCTCTCCTCCTTCCTCCCTTTCCTCCTTTCCATTAGCACTTCAGGAAGGAGAAGCTTTCTTGAAACCTTGAGGATAGCCCTGCATTGGAAACAAGGGGCAAAGGGCTCTCCATCAAGGAATCTACCCAGCGCAGCTGCAGTGCCCAGTTCTCTTCCCAGATCACCAGACCTGGAGTTCATGAATCACAAACAATATGGCCAACCCCTGCTGCCCTTCCAGTTTTGTCTTGGACTGTGGTCTTCTATCCTGATTTGCTTTGAGATTTGCCATTTTAATACTGATTTTATTGGATTTGTTTTTTCTTGCTTCTAATGGCTGCCTTGGGGCTCTCTGTACGTTACTTTGAAGGCCTTGTGTCTTTAGAGGGGAAATATAAATCCCTAAATAGGGGGACTTCTTCACCAGTCCTAATTACAGCTCCCCATGACTTGAAATGGATGCCACAGATGACAGGTTGCACACTCAGAACACTGAATAGTCTCATGTCCCTGTGTATTCAGCTACATCAACAGAAGTAGCCATTGTTTGGAAACTTAATTCTTAATTAAATATCGAGAATCTCAAGAATTTGTACAGAAAAACTGTTTTGAATAATCTCATTGGAAAGACAGCTTTCAGTAGTGTTAAATAGAAATAAAGTCTCAAGTGGCCTTTGCAGCTCACTGAGACTTTTACAAGCTTGGGGTGCAACATGATACAGGTTTAGACAGAGAAAAGTCCTACAACACCCAGCATTCCCCAGCCAGCATAGCTGACAGTGAAAGGCCTTTTTTACATCTAAACAAGCATCAGATTATGACCTTAGGGCCATAGCTGGGATACCAGCCTATCTGAAGATGAATAACTACCTCTCTGGTAATCTCCCATTTGAACTATGTAATATCTTGCATATGGGGTTGCCTTTGGAGACAATTCAGAAGCTTTAGCTGATGTAAAATACAACTGCAAGAGTTTTAACTGCAACTGGATGATTTGAACATACTGTGCCAGTCCTTGCCTCACTTACACTGGCAACTAAGTTGTAAGCCACCCCGAGGCCTTGGCAAGGGGCGGCATAGAAATGTTTTAATAAATAAATAAATAAACTAAGTTAGTTTTAAGCTGTTTTTGACTTCTAAAGCTCTTTGCAGCTTGAGAGATCAGTATATGGAGGAATTCTTCCTTTTGTATGTACCTACTTGTACTCTAAAGTCATCTATGTAGGTCCATCACGTGGTTTCTAATTCTGAAGCTTAAAAGGTGACTACCCAAGAGAACACCTTTCTGGTGCTGGTCTCCTAATTATTGAAGACTGTCTCCCAGGAAATTTGTCTGACATCAGCACTATTTTCCTTGAATCACCCAAGTTTATTTTTATACTTTTTTGCATAGGTTATATACTATTTTCTATTAGGCTTTGAAAGAAATGGTAAGTATAAAATGTGACTATAAATGCTCAATAAAACGATCACTGATCAACTGGCTAAGATCTATTTGTCCTCCCAGACTCTGAAACTTTTGCTAGTTTGATCTTTGTTTAATCCTTGTTCAATCCTCATAGCTGGTTTTGTATCATCATTTTGACTGTATATTATCAGATTGATTTTATTTTGTATTTTTATGTTGGCCTTGTGTTGTATTGTGATTTGTAGAGTTTGCTGTTGTGTTTTATACTATTTTACAGTTTTGTGACTTTGAAATAAATATAATGCAATATAATTTAAATACTTCAAAATAATTGCGAATGCACTGATAATGCTGGAATCTAATAGCATTCTTGCCTTGCCTTCCAGCTGAACAATGCCAGAATTGTCCTAGAATATGAGAAGGTTGCTGAAGTTGACTTTGAGAAACGGGATTTTAGGAAGGTATGGATGAAGATGCTTTGCATCAACTGATATTACTAGTTCAGTTAGTCTTAAAATCTGACAGCAACTCTCCCAGGTCTTAGGTGGAAGTCATTCACATCTCCACTGTTGAAGGTCCAGAAATTGGATTTTTTTTGCATACAAAGCATGTACTCTTACATGAACCTATGGCCCTGCCCATGAACATGAAGGGCAACAACTGCATACGAATATATGAGCATGTGAGTGTTGTCACTTTTCTGTGTGCAAGTAATGCTGTTGAGATGGGGTGCAGAGCAGTAAAAATCCTTCCCTCACAGAGTATGAAGGAACCCCAAAGGAGTACTACTCGTGGATACCTTTTTGGCAGAGCTGAATCAGGTGCTGGTGGAGCAGTTGCACATCCCCATTCAAAATCTGAAAGCTGCTGTTTTATTTATTCATTCCATTTTTATATTGCCAGTAGATTTAGCAGGCATTCAGACCTTGGTCTGTCAGATTTAAAGCCCAGTGCCTTCTCTGTGGTATTTTCCCTTCGGAATGAATGGGAGCTAAGTTTGACTCCTCCAGGGGACTGAGGCAAGACCTGCCTCCGGATTTTAGCTTCTTTGCATAAGAAGTCTGCTTTGATGGCTCTTGGGTTATCCCCATACGCTCCTGTGTATGGTCAGACAACAAGAGTAACTTTGCCCTTCCACCCCATGGCCTCAGTGCTCAGGCCTCCGTCCATCCCGGTGAACTCCTGCTTCACTGCCCTCTGAATTGCGAAGAGCAGCTGGCTGGGCAGGGACAATCTGCATTTTGTCTTAAGGAAGAACCCTGCCTTGTCTGAGACTCTCCCCAGGCTTCTCTGTCTCTTAGGCAGAGTCAAACGTACCCTTTGTTTCTAGAGAAGCAGCACCTTGGCCTCCATCATCTGGGGTGTCTCAGCGCTTCCCGCAGCACCCAGTGGTGATGTCACCTATGGGAAGGGGCGGGGGAGGCAGGAGTTGCAAATCCAGCTGAGCATTAATCCGAACAATGGCCCCCTTCTTGTGCAGCTGTCTCTTGCCTAGAGCAGCAGGAGAGCACAAGAAGTCACTCATTGAGGCCTGGAGCTTGAGTTACTAACCATTTGTCATGGTGGCCTCTGTTTCATCCCACCCATTCTTGTTTTAACACAGCCTGTTGAGTTTCTGGTGCTTCATGCTTCTCTTGCTGATCACAATTGAAAATGCAGGGGCTGGTCGGAGGCAGTTCCTCCTATTCCAGGGAAGCTCCTTTCTGTTCTGAGCTGAGCACAGGACTACGCAGAGCAAATAGGGTCATATCAGGCTGCGCCTGTGCCCACCCACATTAAAATGAGATACTGGGGAGGGGTTGAGCTAAGGTCCAAATGAGGCACAGGTGAGCATTTTGGAACATAACACAAACATGGCTCCACCACTCTTGCCCATATCATCTCACTTTTTCTCCAGTTTGGTTCCTATGCTGGGAGAAAAGTATTTCAGACTGTTGGTAAGTTTTCATAAGAAAAGCTATCCAGGATCATATCAAAGCTCTGTCTAGTCACACAGTGGGGAACCAGCTGCCTACAAGAAACCCACAAGCAGGACACAAGCACCAAATCACTCTCCTGCCCAAGTTCCCCAGCAGCTGCTCTACATAGGTGTACTGTCGCTGATATTGTAGGTAGCATTTATCACATTTAGCATTTAGCCACTTCTGCTTGTGGGATTTTTATTTCTCTTTAAAGCTATCCACACTGGTGGCTTTCACTGCATCTTGCAGTAGTGAATGTTGTTGTTTAACTATGCACTGTTGCACCCTTCACCACAGAGACTTGACTGAGCTGTCATGAGTAATAGCTGTCAATGGGTCTGTCATTCATGTATTTATTCCATGAACAACATGCAAAAGTACTTCCTTTTCCCTGCCCCAAGATTTCTTTCACTACGAAGGTCAGCTTTTTGACCCAAAGGCTACTTTTCAAGGTTATTCATGTCTTCCAGCAAGCATGGAGCGAATTGTCATGCTCAGCACCTGAACTTCCCCATCCTCACTAATTGTATCTTTCATACCAGGTTGTCTTTTGCATGGATCGTGCTCTGGAATTTGCCCCTGCCTGCCACCGGTTCAAAATTCTCAAAGCAGAATGTTTAGCATTACTGGGTCGCTATCCTGAAGCACAGTCTGTTGCCAGGTAGGAGCTGTGGTAGCTAGTAAATAATAAAGAGTCTGTGGCACCTTAAAGAGTAACAAATTTATTTATTTTGGCATAAGCTTCCATGGCTACTGTCTGTTTCATATTTCAGCACTATCAACCTCAGTCTGGCCAATTAGGTAGAAAACAGGCATGACTATGAGCAGATGTTGTGACTTAAATGAATTTGAAGCTTTTTCCCAATAATAATTTCATTGTCTTCATAGGTGTTTTTGTTCTGGGGAACTAACCAAATGAGGTTTCCAAAAGTTGTGGTATTCTTTTTCCTTTTGACCTGTAGTAAATGTTTCCCCTAGGTCTGCAACTTGCTGAGGAATTTTGTGCTGCTGAAGTCTCTGGCAGTGATTGGGGAGTTACTTTACTGTCAGAGAGGTGCAGGGTAAGGGCCAGCAGAAGAATCTAGCTGCCACTGACTGAGCTTTTTAGACTCTGCAGAAGAGCAAGGCAAAGTATGGCAGGAGCCATGAGTCTGAATGGAATAGGGTGTGCTTAGGAAGGGACAGTTGCAGCTCGGGAGAAGGAGAGGTCCAAAGGAATAATGGTAAGAAGAAGACAAGGGCAGGAGTCTGAGGGAAGGCAGACAGGGAAAAGAGATGGCCAGAGAGAAATTGTTCCTGGCCAGAAACTGAAGAGGTGCAATATCACATACTGGTTTGAAATAGCCGGCCATGTCTTTGGCTGCCAGTCTCATGTCTCTCAGAAAAGCTTTATGAATGTTGAGCCTGTTTTGTTTTGTTGTTAGGTTTTTTTTTTGTGTGGGGGGTGGTGACCAGCTCTCCTTTGGTCCTGAGAGTTCTGTGTTTCTCTCTTGCCGCTTCACTCTCTGAATAGCGACATCTTGCGAATAGACTCCACAAATGCTGATGCCCTCTATGTCCGAGGACTTTGCCTTTACTATGAGGACTGCATTGAGAAGGCTGTGCAGTTCTTCATCCAGGCCCTCAAAATGGCACCCGACCATGACAAGGCCTGTCTCGCCTGCCGGGTAAGTATGACAAGGAGCAGCCATACAAGGAGGAGTGTGTGTGTGATGTATCTGACAGGCCTCTGAGCACTGTGGGGGGAAGCCTTCAGCCACCTTTTCATGCACGGTGGCAAGCAGCATTAAATAGGTATTCAAGAACAAGAGTCATGAGTGGGAGTAAATCTACACATTGTTCTTCCACTTCCTTTCTAGAGAGGATGCAACTTGTGTTCTGCAGCATTCGGGGAGGGCTTAAGCCAGCCCTAGTCAAAGCTATATACATTTTGCCCCCAGGGTTAAAATTCTACAGCTAGGCAATGTAAATTGTACCCCAGGTAAGACTTATGTAGCTTGTCTAAATGATGCAGACTGAGTGAATTTGGATAATTTAATGTCTTTTGTATAATTTATTCTATGTTCACAAGCCATCAGGGTAGATAGAAGTGCTTCTCTGGCTTTTATAGTTTCAGTAGTCATTGCACATAATCTCTCAGACTCCTCAAAGGGCTAGAAAGGTTTCTTCAGACAAGCACACACATTTCCAAAAAAAAAAAAAAAAAAAGGAAAGCTAAGAGTCTGTGCACCCACCACCACATGCTGTTTTTTTTGTTGCCCCTTCCAGAGTGTTGCAGCATATATTCTGTCCTTATTAAAGTCTGAACAAATCTTTGGTAAATTCTAGAGCAAATGAAAGCTTTGGTTACTTAACTGCTTTCAAAATTCCAATGCTGTGCTTGCATAATGGTAGCATTGGAGCTGTTCACACAGCATGATGGTTTGCTTTGCTGTAGGTTATTTAACCCATAGCTGGGGGAAGGGGTGCCATTTTGAATCCCACTCAAGTGTTGTAGTGAACCCAATATAAGTGAGTTATGTGAGGGTTAAAACCTGCTTGTTCTGGATTAAATAAGTTAAAATGAGCAGTAGTGTGTTGTTGGAACCTGTTCAGTGAGTGAATTGCAAGTGGCATTTACATGGGGAAATGAATCTAGGTGGTAGGATGTGAGTGTACATCCAATGCATATTTTTTGTATTTGTTGTTGACATAAAACTACGATTCTCTTTGCTGTGCTAGGTTGTTTAGGACCACAGTATTTACCTAATTAATAGGTTAGCTTAATATATTTACAAATCTTTTGATTGAAAGCACCCCCAATTAATCAGGGAACAGATTTAAAACTTTTTATACTACTAGACACAGTTGTTATGCCACTAGAAATTTAACTGATGATATTACTCATACATTTTTTTAAAGAATAGTCCACCTTTATTAATTGCAATTAAACTTCACAGCCAAATGAACCCAGGTGTTAGACCTCCGCATCCATACAGGATTGGTTTAATAAAGTCTGAGATAGTCTAGTGCTAGACAAACTTGCAAAATAGACTCATAAATCCTAAATATACTGATAAGTTTCTGGGGAACTATTTATTGAAATCTTTATTTTGCAGAACCTGAGCAGCTTGAAATCTCTCCTTTATAAGTAGAGGGGTGGGGGAGAAATTTGTCAAATTTGTCTGGTGCCTCCATCTGTGCTGCATGGAGAAACTGACCCCTAAAATAGTGAATTGTCCTGTTTTGTGTTTAATTATGTTTGCCCTTTTCTAAAAATAAGAATACATGCAAAACTAAACAGTCCGTGTTCCTCTAAAAAGATTAGCTGGCAAGTACCATTTTAAAAGAGAGCCTCTTCTTCCTAATTGACAGAGAAGGGGGAATAGGGCAGAAGCAGCCCAAGTGTAGTTCCCATATGCAAATTCATGCAAGTTAATCAACAGAGCTTTCTTAAGTATCAGGTTTGGGTGTCACTTTTTTACTGCTTGAATCTTAAACTATCTTGCTGACCACCTCCTCTTCCAGAATGCCAAAGCTTTGAAAGCGAAGAAGGATGATGGCAATAAGGCCTTCAAAGAAGGCAATTACAAGCTAGCCTTTGAACTTTATACAGAGGCCCTTGCAATAGATCCAAATAACAGAAAAACCAATGCCAAACTCTACTGCAACCGTGGGACAGTTAACTCAAAGGTAAGAGAGCTTTAAACTTGTCATGTGTGTTTTGCCTTTTTTTACCAGGGTCATTCATTTTTGCTGTTTGAGGGGGAAGTGACTTTAATGTGGTTGTTGTGGTTACATTTCTATACTGCCTGTGGCCAAAACTCTCTGAGCAGTTTACAATAATAATCATAGAATCATATACTCAGATCACTCATCCAGATTCTAACCAGACCTGACCCTGCTTAGCATCCAAGATTAGACAGGATCAGGCACTGGAAAAACCTGAAGGCAAGCATCCCTTAAGAAATAGGGTGAGCAATAAAAGCTGCTGATTGGCCTGCTTATTAGCCTAAAAAAGGCAAATAACATCTGAGTTGAGAAAGTCTTCTAAGCCTTTCCTGCTTAACGCTGAAGCTAAAATTCATGCACAGGAGCTCATTTCCTGGTTTTGCAATTTGCCTTTCAGCTTAGAAAGCTAGAAGAAGCAATAGAAGACTGCACGAGTGCCATCAAACTGGACAACACATACATCAAAGCCTACCTGAGGAGAGCACAGTGGTAAGTCTGTGCGTGATCTGTAGTGGGAGGGGTTCTGGCTCAGTGGTGGTAGAGGGCATGCTTAGCCTTGAGGTGGAAGGTCCCCATTTCCAGCTCTGGCATCTCCAGTTAAAAGGATTGTAGAGCTAGGAAGGGACTTCTCTCTGAAGCCCTCATTAACTGTGGCTAGTCTGGGCAGTTATATCTGTGTGAAGAGGAGCAGCAGTACAAGGCAGATTTACATGAGGCAATGATCAAGTGGTGCAGTTTGGGTTTCAGGTGCTTTGTTTCCTAATGTTAGGCAGAGACCAGCTGCTGTCCATTCCCTGTTGTCCGATATCTACTGTCCTTTGGTCTCGCATCTCAGTTCAGGATGTGTGCTTATTTTTGTCCTAATTCTCCCACTGGAAAGATTGGGATAGTATATATATTCCTGTGCCCTCCCCATTTTCTAACTGGTAGCATTCCAGCTGTGGAATCCGTTACCTAGAGACATCGCCTGGCACTGACTAGTTATTCATTTGGTGCAAAGCCAAGACCTTTTGTTTTGCCCAGCATTTTAATGGTTGAACTTTTTTTACTGTGTGTTTGTAGTATGTTAAGATTCAAATGCTGTTGTGGATTTGGCTATTCTGTTTTATTCTCTGTAAGCCGTCTTGAGATCTTGACTGGATATAAGATGGGGTACAAATGTTTTTAATAAATAAAAAATAAAATAACTGCTCTAACACTGTGAGGTAGCACAGGCTGAGAAATAGTGGCTCAGCCAGCTCTCAGCTTTGTGGCTGAGTGTAGATTGGAACCTGGGGTGCCCTTGGATGTTACCAAATACCCCATCCTTTGTGCCACATTGCCTCTGTTGGCCTACACTCCTCATCACAGCAGGCTGTGATTGCCAAGGACAGGAGGGCTCATTGCTCACTTCCCTCCAGCCTAACTTACTGGCCAGGCTTCACTTCTCAATTTTTGGGCAGGAATTTTTTCCCATCCCCCACTCCCAGGTTAGTACCTCATTTACACTTGTGTGGCTTGTTGAATCATTTTGAACTTGTTTGAAATTCTGTAAGATAATAACTGTGCTTCCTTTGACTAGTTACATGGACACAGAGCAATATGAAGAAGCTGTGAGGGATTATGAAAAGGTTTATCAGACAGAGAAAACAAAAGGTAAAAATGGAGCACCTGAGCCCTTTCTTGGTTCCAGCGTGGTGTCTTCCAGATGTGACTGGCTACAACTCCCACCATGAGAGTTGTAACCAAGGACCCACTTAGAAAATGCTAATCTTTGCTATTGCTTTGAGGGGGTCTCGAAGTCTGGTATCTTTCGTCATGTGTTTCTTGCTTGATCATAGGGCACCAAATGCAGTTCTCCTGTAAGGTGGTGTTACGGGGTTTCCCCAGAATCTGAGCTCTCCTGGTTGGAGCTGGGGGATCAAACTTTTGTTCTTCTGAAGTGGCAGAGAAATCCTGTAAACCTGAGAAACATTTTGTTTGAATGGATTTTGGAGGATCTTCTAGTCAATCCAAATTAATTTATATTTAACTTTCATTCTTCCTTCTTATACTAGTAGGCATGTGTGAAGGACTAGTTTTTGCTCCTTGATATGCCTGCACATACAATTTCAGTCCCAGTATTCCTGAATTTCCTCTGACCTAACTGAATTTCCTCCTGTGACTTCTTCAGCTATATGTGATTTTTGGTGAATTTGTGAATGTGAATTTACAAATATATTTGTAAATGTGTTTGTGATTTATCAAAAGAGTAATGTTGTCTGCACGCAAATTTCATTTTTCAGTTTTCTAGGTTGGGTGTGTATTTTGGTTTTGGTCCGTAGAGAGAAGCTCCATTCATTATGTGTGTTTATTCTGTTGCAATTAAAGCTGTTTTTATACTTTATCCTCTGCTACATTCTAGAACACAAGCAGCTGCTCAAAAATGCACAAATGGAACTGAAGAAAAGCAAGAGGAAAGACTACTATAAGATCTTGGGAGTGGACAAGAATGCTTCTGAAGATGAGATCAAAAAGGCATATCGGAAACGGGCTCTAATGCATCATCCAGGTACTGAAATGTTTCCTCAGCTTCCACTTGTATAATTCAGTGATGTTTGGTACTACCATGCCATGAAAGAAAAAATTAAACTTCCACATGGGATACTTTTATTACTGACTGCTCATTAGAGAGTCTGGGCCTGTGCAAGGTTGATTCCTCCTCATTGACTATAAGCCAACCATTGACTAGACCCAAATGGTACTTACCATTCACTGGCAACCACATCAAAAACATAGACAAACATGTTCAACAGGGCACCATTACAAATCCATTTCAATTCTAGGTCTTTTTCACATTTGCAATACATGCACCCAATAATCCTTTAAGAACTCAATGAAAAAATGCTCATGCATGCATCTTATGGTTAAATCTCCTTTTCAGAGAATTGGAATATAGCCAAAGTAACATCATTTTTAAAATGTATCTGCTTAAGTATATTATGGACCTAACTTACCCCAATTAAATTGATAGTGTTAAAGCTAGAATTGTTAAATGCGAAGAACAAAAAACATTCTTTAAAATCCATCAGCAAGGCTGCTGTAATTATGACTTATCAGCCTCTCAGAATTCTAAGAGTGTCAAGAAGTATGGAGTGCTCTAAGTGTTTTTATTTACAAATTTGTTTCACCCTGTACAAAGCTTTCACCAGGGTCCTTTACTAAATGCTGCTTAATAAACCAGCAGTCACAGAACAAGGGACAGGGTCTCCTGTGCATCTGTTGAGTAAAGGACAAGAATTGTAGCACACTTTTCATAGTGAAGGAAGGTATCAGTGGAATCCTTATTTCACACATAAGTAATACTGATTCAGGACAGCCAGTGGGACTGCCATGCTTGTGGATGATGCCAAATGACCCAGGATGGTGCAGTGTAAAGCCAGAGTATAAAGAACTCCAAAAGGATCACCTCAGATTGAGTGAATGGCCACATATGGTAAAGGAACTGCAACATGGATGCATATAAAGTGATGCACATGGGAGCAAAGTCAAGTCTTTAAAGAGTATTAGTGCTATCTTGCTCTTCCTAGTGGAGGGCAATCCTATCCATCAAGGCAGCATCACAGATGTTGCAGCTGACTGCCCAAGCTGAAATCTCAAAAGACTGAAGTCTCAGAGCAAGGGCTTAAATCAGTAAGTCTACAGGATTTGGGTCGTTGGGGGTGGAAGTAAGGAGAACCTAATTCCCCACCTCCACCCTGTTTTTGTATGCCCTCTTAATGTGTTACTCGTGTGAAATCAACATGGCAATACTTTGCTTCACTTTGCCAGATGAACCACTCACCTCCACTGAGACTCTTTCAAGACTTGCCAGTGTATCACTGTGTGTTACTTTGCATGTGTACTTTATTTCTGTTGTTCTCTGATCACCACTTTAGAGGAGTCCTTTTGGAGCTTGACCCCTAGCTTGCATACAATTCCCAGCATCTCCAGGCAGGGCTCAAACTCCTGCCTGAAACCCTGGAAAGCTGTTGCCAATCATTGTTGACAACACTGGGCTAGAATGGCCAGTGGTCTGACCTAATATAAGGCAGCTGGAGAAGTTCTCTGTGTTTCACCCCAATGCCCCTAATGTCAGGGATTCTCCAACAGACGCAGAAGGATTAGGCTGACTTCTCAGGACCCTACAGGGCTAGAAGGCCATGTTGTTTGGAGATAGGTAAACTGGATGCAGCCCCTAGAATTCTCCCTAGATTAACATGAGCCTAGACTGTGGTGTTGTCTGGTGTTACTGAGATGTTCTCCTGAAAGAGAGACCTGGATATAATCACAGACCCAGAGCTTCACCCAGTTCAAGCTCCACTGGGCTTTTCCCTTTGCCTTCTACTGTCCTGTCCAGATGATGAGCTGTGCAGCTGATAAACCTCTCTTCTGTCAGGAGCACCCATTGCAGTGGATTATTTCACTGAGTTGTGAAGCTTACAGAAAGGGACAACATGTTCTCTGAAAGGCACATGTTGCAATGGGCCAGCTTGTAGTATTACCCTGGGGCAAAGAAGCAGCCACTGTAGAACTCCCACTTGGAAGTTCAGGGCATGTCTGTGCATAAGATCATGTCCTTGAATATAGGCACTGGCCATGATAATATGCTGATGAAAAGGAGTAATTGTAGCTTGTCTGCTCACTCCAGAGTCACAAGCCCCCAGATGCTATGTAGGTGTTGAAATGCACAAGTACAGTTTTTTTATGTTTATTCAAAAGCATGATCGGTAAGACAGTCCGCCATCTTTGGGTCATTCCATACTTTATGCCCCCAGGAAGGACAGCAAGGCAAAAGGTCGTCTAGGTAGGGGCACAATAGAAGAGCTGAAAGCATGCATTGAATGCCACATTGGGAATCAGAAGTCTGTGGTATCTGGAATTAATGGATACAGGTAGATTTCCACTGGATCTGTTCAGAAGTCGACATCCAGTTAGGGCTTACAAAAGTTATTTTCCTGGTTTTTCTTGTCAAAATCTTCTTGAATTCCTCTAAAAGGTAAATTATGATTTCTTCTTTCAACCTTCAAAATCTCTCTTCTTTGGCTCAGCCTTTCAATGTCAGAGTCTTGTCTTTCTATACATACATCAATATTTCCTTGTTTTTCTTTAAGTTGTGTAACTTTTTTTGAATTTTCTTGAATCTCCTTTTTAAAATCCGATTTCACTTCCTGTAATTCATGTCTTAAGGATGTGATTTCTCTTTCACTTTTGTCCTCTGATTGGTTTAATTGACCTGCAAGTATTTGAATTTGATCAGTAACTATTTCAGTATGTTGTTTTAGTAATGTTTGGAGTTTGTCCATAGGATCAGAGTCTGAGTCGGCTTCTTGAGTTTCAATCCTCTTCTTCCTTTCTTTAGGCCTGGTTGAGGCCATTCTTGTTTCCTCTCCTCGAGATATATATCTCATACAGTTTTTTCATTTATTATTTCGGGGAGTCTGAATCTTCAATATATTCCAAAATCTAAGAAGCAATGTTTTTCTCATTAAAAAAAGAATGTGTATTTAAAAGAGGAGAGAAAGGAAAAGGGAAGAAGAAGAAAGGAGGAAAGAGGGAATAGAACAAAAAGGAAAGATTTAATATGTTAAGTTCTTAACTATGAGTGTTAGGTTGATTCATCACTTTCTAAATCCTATTTTTAATATTTAATAATTCATTGCTACTAATTACTAATCAAATACTAATAAACAGTCCTTTCAAAATCACTGGTCTGAGATCTCATTCCAGATCCAGCAGATGGCACTAATCATACTGTGAGTGCTGTGCTGTTAGATCATCTATGTCAAAGTTACCTTCTCTCTACTCAGCTCAACCAGAAGACTGAGAAGGAAGGTTCAAAATTTCCAAACATTCAGAAGACTGAAATCCAGCATTTCTCCTGCTTAGTTAAATAGTCATAATGTTGCCCAACTGCACCAAATCCGATTTAACATCCACAGTGTCACAACACAGCCTCCTTCAAAGTTCTTCCAATGGTTGTCCAGTGTGGGAAGAGAAGGGAAAAGATGGTGACTGGCAGAAGAAATCACCTCCTTCCGTTCTTTGCAAAATTCTAACCAGGTTGTTCACTGCATCAGTCCTTGGCCATTCAAGGACTTAGACTAATAGACCCATATTCCAAAGTCCCGTTCCACAGTTCACCAACTTCACCACACTGTCCCATGTAGCAGTTGATGATATATTTGTGACTTTTCTCAAAACACCTCAAATATATATTTGAGAGCGGGAGGAAAAAAGATGGCAATTAAATAAAGGGAAAAAATATTTGCACTCCACTTTGCAAATAGAAGTACAACTCTATTCATTTATCTCACTGGTCTGTGTTTTTTCCAACGTTGGTGATCTCAGTCTCAGCAAATAGTCTCACAGACCCTAACATACAGCTGGCTGGCTGCCAGCTTTTGTTTTAAAACTCCTCATAAAGTAATTAGTAGGAGCTGCCTTTGAGGTCTTGTTTACAGCAAATCCATAAATAATAATCCCTTGGAGTAAAGGTGGGGGAAAAACGCATAGAAGAGCGGAGAGAAAGAGTTTAAAAGTAAAAAGACGAGGAAGTGGTTTTTGGATGGAAACAATCACCCCTCATCAACACTAATCTTAATGTCTAGATACATCTGAGCCCATAAGAATAGGCCCACCTGCCAGTTAAGGTCCCCACGTAGAGAAAAAAAAAAATATTTCCACACCCACGTTTCCAGCCTAGAAATGCTTGAAAATGCCTGCAAGCTGCTGTGGACAAACCTCCATCCCCCACCCCTGTATAGCATTGATGTCTAACACATTTTTTTCTTGAGTGGCTGCATCATGTTTTGTGGGAGACTTGGAACATGGAGACAAAACAAACTTGTGAGGGATGCACATTTCTGTGCAATAAATTTCTTTCACCACCTTCAGCATCGTTTCTTAATTTCAGTCATGTTCAGGCTGCTTCTCCAGGGGAAGAACATCCTGGTGAGGCTGGACAACACCATGCCCAAGGGTGCACCAGATGCCACCCCTTCTTCCATGAGTTGGTGATTGGGAATAGTGAACCATGTCAGCTGTGTTTTCAACACCAAGACTGAGCAGCTAAGTTGACAAAATGTGGACCTCCTTGAGTAGGATCTAATTCCTAATATAGGCAGAGCATTCAGAAGCAAATGGGTACTTGAAAGTTCGACCTATTTGCCTTCCTGATGAATTGTGGGGTTTCCATTGTGAAATGTAGAAGGGCTGGTGCCCTTTTATCAAAGTGATCACTGGCTTGCAGAGTGCTTTTCTGAAGCACACCCAGCACATAAATGCTCTGCGTCCCCTTCTGACCCTGGTCCTCAGAAAGGCATATCTAGAGGTGGCAGACCACTTCATACTGGGTGATAAATAAAGCCGTTGTTTCATTGTTTTCAGACTAAGTCCAGATGACATTTTGTGCTTGCTTCTATCCAGATCTAGACAAGCTTTGTCCCTTCACTTGGAGGCTGAACAGTAGCAGGTGCGAGAGAAATGTAGCTATGCCATACATAATAGTTTTTCTTCTGGCATCTAGACAAGACTTGACACACTGCATTTATGAAGCCACCTGGAAAGCTTTTCTGCACTAGTGTAAAAGAAAATGGTTTTCTTATTGTATAGCAGTGTCTTGGAGTCTCTAGCCTTCCTACCTGCCAACATGGAAAGAGACGTCACTGAACACTAGAAGGCAGGCAATGACCCCTCTTTTGATCCTGAGCAAAAAGGGCCACTCGCCAATGGTACGCTCCATCAGTTCAGGTGGTTTTTTGAGGAGCTGCCTTGCTTTAATAGGTGCCTTGCTTTAATCACCTATTTCTCTTGTGGGGCCTCTGCAAAGTCTTGTGAGCCTTGTTTAAGAAAGATAGTGTTTATGCATTTTGTTATTTTCCATCTGTCAAAGCCAAAAAACTAATACAATACAAAATATAACGAACAGCACTGGAAAAAAGAGGTTGAGTAAGATATGCCATAAATAACTATGTATAGAATTGATCAACACTATTTACCAAATAATAAAATTTACTAGTAACATCACAACTGGATGCCCCCCTTACCATTGAAGACTATGAAATTGTTCCAGGTTTCTGTTTTAAATCTACAGAGTCCCACTTTGTGTAAAGCTTGGTTCTTAGGATAAAAAGCATGTGCAGTGATGAAGAAAACTTCTCAAAAAGACACAGTGAGCTTAACATCTCCAACAAAGTGGATATGCTAGTCACACTGTTGATGACAGTCTCAATTAAGCTTCAATAAATCCTTCTTTATAAAACAAAGAATAAGTCTTTGGAAGAAAATTGCATTCCACTTGTGGTTGGGCTACCATTCTGCTGCCCCTTGTTACCATCAGATAATAGAAGAATAGAAGATATTCTCTGGTGTGTATTTGACAGAAGGCATTAATTCTCCACCATGCATTGCATTCAGAGAGTATTAGTTAAAGCAGCACTTAAAACAAGATAGAAGCAACCCAGGATCGCAGCAGTGTAAATCAGCATGTTGCACTTACCTCCAGAAAGTTCTTTTTAAGAGCACAGTTACTAACAAAAACTAATGCCTTAGACACAAGTAACATGCATTTCATCTAATATTATTTATTTTGTTCAATGTAAAATGTAAATGTAAAAAGATGGATGTCACATGCAATATGTAGGTAAAACACCAGCAGACCTAAGAGCAAGATAGTATAGATTAATGTATATATTTTAAAATGTTATTTTAATTTATTGTTGTAAGCCGCCCCGAGGCTTCGGCGAATGGGGCGGCATAAAAATGTTTTAATAAAAAAATAAATAAATCTGTGATTCTTTCCAGAAGAAAAAAATTAGAGCAGCCAGGTGCAAGACATTTTAACTCACCAGCACATAGTCTCTTAGACAGACAGTTTCTTTCAAGGAGTGCTTCTAGGTCTGTAGTCTCAGAAATCTTTCTCCACACAGCCTTAATCTGGAGGAAATTTACGGATGTTATGCTGAGATTTCATTACTCACATTTTTATCCTGCCTTTCTTCCAAGGAGCTCAAAGGGTGCCAGATATAGTTCTTCCATTTCGTCTTCACAACAGCCTTGTGAGACTGGTTGGGCAGCTTCGGGAACTTCATAGCTGATCGGATCTCTTTAGTCTCAGTCCTAATTTTGTGTCCAGAGTGGGTTTTGCATTTGTGCCCTCACTAATCACAGGATTTTGCTTTAATCAGTAATTGATCCAGCTGAGCTACTGCGTAGGAATATACAGGCAGGGCTATTTGGATGCTGCAGGAGTACAGAAAAAACTGAGATGTTCTGCTTGCTGCAGAATTAATCTTTGTGAGGAGCTCATCTCTCACCTATTTTATTGGAGTTCATGTTTTTAGTTATAAGGGAAGAGGTGGGGAACCTGTGACCATCTAGATAATGTTGGATTAGAGCACCCATCCTCCTTGATCACTGGCCATGCTGATCAGAGTTGGTGTTCAACACCTGGAGGTGTTCTCTGCCTCTGACTTAAAGCTATGATGTCTAAAAATCGAGGAGAACAGCTGAATAAGATTGTTCAGTGGCTACAACATCTAGGGCTGTGGTGCTTTGCATAATTCTTGGTTTCTCTCTGCCCAGAAGCATTTTGCTGTGCAAAAAATCAGCAGAACAAATGCATGTAATGTAAAATAACAGTGCAGTTTCTCTAATTCATAAAAGGTCAAGAAATTGAGCTGGTTTTGGAGTACAGAATAGACTCTGCCCTTTCTGTAGGCTTCCAGAATATCTTATTCTTCTTACAGTCAGGATCTTTCTTTTCTCTTTCTTTCTCTCCCCACCCAAAAAACCTCTTGACAGACCGGCACAGTGGTGCAAGTGCTGAAATCCAAAAAGAAGAAGAAAAGAAATTTAAGGAGGTTGGTGAAGCCTTCACCATCCTTTCCGATCCAAAGAAGAAGGCCCGCTATGACAGCGGGCAGGATCTTGAAGAAGATGGCATGAACATGGGAGGTGAGTGCTAAAGAAGGATTTTGCTTCGGTGCCCTCCTTTTCCACAAGGGCATATTTTTGGAGATGGGAGATGAAATGCTTTTGCCTTGCTAATGCAGGCACTTCCATAGAGGCAAATCAAAATTTGAGCCTCCGTATAGCAACTCTGGCTCAGCTGGCACCTTGCTTTAGCCAAGGATAAAAATGGGAGCAGGACTGAGGGGAGTTCCCCAGAATCAAGGCACAGAAAAAACAACCAGCACTGTGAAGCGCTCCAGCCCGCCTGGAACATCCCTCCTCTGGGCTGGGTCACCTGATCGCTGCGTGATTAGCAAGCAGCGCTGCATGCCAGGCACCGTGTGCCTCATCAGCTGCCTCGGTGCAGCTTGTCATGCCGTTTGAACTCTGGTGGCATGGCTTCTTGCTGGAGCAGGGAGAAAGGGACCCAGGTAGCCCAGCCACGGCTCTGCATGTAAATCTAGTCAGCGTGTGAATGTGACTGGCCTGAAAGGCAAGAAACTAATCAAGAACTCCTTTCTTCCCTTTATCTCCCTGCTACTCATCACAAATAGATTTTGATGCTAATAATATCTTCAAGGCTTTCTTTGGAGGACCAGGAGGCTTCAGTTTTGAAGGTAGGTGGGATATTCTTCCTATCATACGCTGGAGCAGGAGCAGGGAACTTTTACAGCCCAATGGTCTCATTCTGTTAATGGATAGCTTCCAGCCCCTACATTTTATCAGAGGGCAGGGTTGGAGCCACCCCATCCCATTCCTGTCTCTTGCACACATATGTATTCAAATGTTTGGAAGGTGAGGAGTTTCTGCAGTGAGTGAAGTAACAAGCCCTTTCTCCGTGTGGTACAGCCCACTCAAATGCTCTTCCCCACAGCAGCTGGACTGTTTTGAAAGTCTCTGCTGCCTTTGCAGGTTTTTTAGAACCTTAATTGCTATGGGTGGATAAGATTTTTGGAGGACACATTAACCCTTCCCCCTGCAGTGTTCTCCCTGCTCTATGTGACAGTTAAAGCTTTTTAAAAGCCTCCATTGGTACCAAAGCCTAATTATTGCAAGGTGGAAAATGGGAAGCTGTGGGCCAGACGTGTGTGCGATGTAGGTGCAAGAAAGAATATCTCTGCCTAAAAGGAAGGAAGTCATGAGTTAGTACAGAGAGAATGTCTGTAGAGCTCAACTCTGGTGGCTTAACCACCATCACCAAGGTAGTTCAAAAACCCATTAAAATGGTGGAAATAAACTGAGGGGCTCCTGCATACATACCAAAAACTTGTAGCGGAGGGAGACCCTAAACCGGCCATTCCTCTCCTGATGCCAGTTTAGGAATGCTAGGCATTAAACTGTAAGTCCCTTCCTTCCTTTCAGATCAGCTTAGTATTATAACACTGTCTTGAATGGCTTAAAAAGCTTTTGGTCACCAATCATTGCCCAGTCACCCAGAAGTTAAGCTGCTCCTATGATTATTATAGCTATATTATTATATTAATTACATTTCTGTTCCACCTAATAACCAAAGCTCCCCTGGTGGTTCACAACAATAGAAACATTCTTTTGTTGAAATGGAGGTTGCCTATCCTGTCCAGTATACAAGATAGAGCCAGCCTTTCTGTTTGCGGTTCATAGATTTAGGGACAGCTTCATGCAGGTTTAAGGAGAAAATGGGCCTGCAGTTCTCAGCATACTCCAGCCAGCTGGGAGTTGTAGGCCTTTTTTCTGCCTAAATTTGCATAGGGTCGCATCCTTAGTGTGCATTCTCTTTAATATCTGAGCTGCTCTGGTCAAATTCTTGTTTGTATCCTAGCGGGGGGTGGGTTGTACAATACATCCAAATTCTAAATTTTGCCTGTGGTGTCTTTCAGCTTCTGGACCAGGGAATTTCTTTTTCCAGTTTGGCTAAACTTCAGAAGACCCTCTTGTCTACCAAAACCCACACTTTATCTGACCTGCTTCATTTAACTTCGAGTTATGTTCTCCCTTCATCTCATCGCGCCGTTTCTTAGGGCTGTGGTGTTTTCTCCTCTGGAGACCTCCGTTTTTTGTGTGAGCTTTAGAGTGTGATGAGAAACCCAGCGCTTGGAGAGAAGGGGGAGGGGCAGTGAAGGGTTATCCTTTTTGGTTGTTTGTTTTATTGTTAACTTTATTAAAAAAGAGAGAGAGAGAAATAAAATCTTTGGATTCCTCTATGATAAGTAATTTCAGACTCCCAAGCTGCTGGGATTTAACTTGTGGAGTCCTCACCTTCTGTGACGGGCCTGAAACTTTTCTCAAGTGCAGCTGAACATGACATGCCTTCATATTTATGTAAGTAAAAAAAAAAAAAACCCTAATTAGGTTTTTCTCGCGTTGGTTTCAATACCCCAGCTGTAGCCAGACTCGGCCTGTGACCCATCTACACAAAGGCTGAGGAAACACTTGAGAAACCCAGGCAGAGTGAGATTCATGGCATTGCTCCCTGAGAGAGTCACTTCTGGAATAAGGAGAAAAACCTTCCCAGCATATTGTAGTACCTCCAGAGCATCTATTTCGTTTGGGGGACAGTTTCTTTCTGTTTCCAATTTCTCAAATACTTCAGGGAAATGGTAAGGGCTGATTTCACACACACTGATATTTGTCTTTTTGATGGTGAAAGCCAGCTCAACACGTAAAACTGGCTCCACTGAAAATTGCATGGTGTCCGAGGTGGCTGTCAGGTGTTAAAGCTCTGCGCACTTGTGCAATGTCAGATCTGCTGTGCCTGTTTCACACATGCAAATCATCACTGGATGTCTCTGACACATTCATACATGCACGTGCAAATCCACTAAGTATGATGGAACCTGTTCTTCACAAACTGATTGGGATCCCAACATTTTGTTTGTTTGCTTGCTTTTGGTTAGGAAACAGTTTTTTTAGGATTGACCGAAAATGTGTTCTACCTTGAAAAGAAGACAACCAGCATTATTTGAAGGTGGAGGGCCTTTGGGTCTGCTGTGCAACCCTTTCTTGTATATTATGAAAACGGAGCTGCTTGTCTTGAACTTACCTGACAACAGTTTTGCAAGAAAACAATTTTCAAGCAGAATGGTAGCAACAAGCCACCTTGGAATCGATGGCTGCTGTTACTGCTATTTTTATTTTTATCCAGTGCTGTTATCATTGTGTATATTGCTCACACACACCAAGTAACAGCTTCCACAATGCCACCTTTTTTCCTACTGCTTTTCTCCGTAGTAGCAAGGCATCATGCAGAGATGTTGCCTCCTCGATGTGTTGAGCTATTTTAACATTAGATTACAATTTTCACCATACTGCTGTGCATTGGAAATTTCCTCTCATGTTAAGTGGCCTTTCCATTGTTTTGGCCTGCAACTCCCATAATCCCTAACCATCCACTCTGCTAGCCAGGACTGATAGGAGCCCGAAACATGTGAAAGGCCACAAGTTACCCACCTCAGCTTTAAGAACTGACTCAGAAACCACAAAAATGTTTCTAGATAACCAGGGTATTTTGATATCAAAAAGTGTGAGCTTTGACAACCTTCTTTGAGGTTTTTAGGGACTGGTTCTTGTGCAATACCTGTTCAGTAAAATTATAATTATTGAACCACATAAGCCTGGGAGCTGTCTGCTACTTTTTGAGCCATTCAGCTGTGCTTCCTGGCAAGCTTAAGAAAGCATTTGGGTAGGTTTAACTTTGTCCCCTGCATTTCTCTTCCCAGCGTCAAACTGGGAACGTGAGAGAAGCAGTGGTAGCAATACAGCCTGCAGGGGGATATTCAACTGTTGCTAGCTAGGCTAAAGTGTGGCGAGAATAAGGAAATAAGTTGTTGGAGAGAGAGAGGAGTAGGAGCTTGGTGTATCAGCCCCTTGAAGGTGTTGGAACATGTTGACTCCTAGGCTAAAAATTGTCAACTACCTCTTATTTAGGCCTGCCATGCAATCAAATTCCACTGATGGAATTTATTTCATGAGCCATGGTTACATCCAGAGAAGTAAATCTGGTGATGTTGGGTTGTGTACTTTCTCTATGAACCATCAAAAATGTAATAGTTTTTGAAAAACTAGCAGTGAAGCATATGAAGCAACAAAACCTCTCTTTGTATTGCCTTATGCTGATGGATATTAAATCAGTAGAATGTTATTCTTGGAGGCATGGAGCTATCAGGCACAAGGGAAAGCAAGAATGGTGAATCCTGCTAATTTCCCTTCCTAGATGCAGGTGAAGTTATTTTTCTTTACGGCTTGGTTCATATGATTAAACAAACCATGAATTGTTCATACACACATGGGAGTGAGTGTGCTGGCCTCCATCTACTCTTCCTCTTTGCTAAACAATTCAAGGAGCACCCATTCAGGGAATATTCTCTGTTATGTTTGAACCAGAATCGGTTGCTGAGGAAGAAGCAACCCAGAATTTTAACCTCACAATGAACTGTGGGTTAAAATTCTGGGTTATTTCTTCCTTAAGAATGTAGAGTTCCATGTTTTCCGACTTGCTTTCTCAATTTTTTCAAGTATTGAAAATTCTTTATGATCCAAGAGGTTGCTGGAACTTGATACTGATTGTAAACCTGGAAGCTGGTGAGTGCCAATTTAAAAGCAATCTTTTCTGCAATGCTTTGCCTTTTTCTTATGTTTCTGATCAGAAATTAAGTCTCTGTACTCAAAGCAGCCACTAAGGAGGCTCCTAGATTTCAGTTTTATTTGCATTAGGTAGCAGAGCTTATAGAATCTATTTTTTAAATCTCCTGATGTGGCATTCTAGATCATTGCACTATATTCTTGGTCATTAAACATTTTTTTAAAAAATAGTGAAATTGCATTTAAGAGCTACCAGAGGTGTTTTGCTGACTGACCCATCTGTCTGTCTGAATGTGGTGTTGGATGCCTGCAGAAAAATAAGGTAGTTGCATCTGGGATGGTAAACTATACCAATTCTGCAGTCACTCTTTTCAGACAAAAGGTACAGTGTTTGTTTTGAACTTTTCTTCCCATGGTCCAAGTTTCCTTTCCTGGTTTTAGTTTTACATAGGGAGATGTTCAAAAATAGCATTCACCTGCAGTTTGAAATAGTTTATCACTGACACTACCACTTCATTCTGCTGCATGTGGGGACCAGATCTCTGTCATGAGATGGATAAAAAAGAAAAATCCCACAAGAGGCGTTCCTAAGCTGAGAAATGCAAGGTAGCTTCCACCTTATTTGTAAACTGCTGGCCTAGGAGAAAAGTATTCTCGGGAAGGTTGCCATTTTACCTCATAAGTTTGACTCATTCCCACCCCTTTTTCTGTACACTGCCAGATCATTGTTCCTTGCATGAATTGTATCCTCTTTGCTGTATAGATACATGTACAAGGAATAGCAGAGCAGAGTGCAGATTTGCCAATGTTGAAGCCATTTGGAGAAAGGCTGTTTAGCTAGAACTATTTTACATGCTATTTTAAGCTCAGTATGAGGGTCTAGCCTTCCTATTAAAAAGTTTGTTGCATGATCTGTTTTAGAACAGCACCCATCCTCTCTCCTGGGGATGGCTTCACACATCAATAAGTATACAGTTCCAATCAGACCCTTTCACATTTCGAAGATATTAAAGGAGAACAAAAATTGGTGAATATTTGTTAGGTGGGATTCGTGTGTTTATATGCAGAATTTCAAACCAGACTGAAGCAAAAACCATATGCAGTTGATATTAACTTTATTATAAAATGTATATGATGTACAAAAATAAACACTCCAGATCTCGTTGGTGACTTGCTTTCTTGAACAGATTAGACACTGCTGAGGGTGTGAGTATGGTGGTATGGAGTTGGGTTGGGTGGAAGCCTCCATTGCAAGAAACCTGTGGTAGTCAATTTAAGTTACCTGGGGTGTGCTTGGGGTCACTTCTGATGCTGTGTGGGTTGCTGGTGGCAATGAAGCACCGGATGCTTAGTGTGAAAGTACCTTCTGGGTTGGTGTAACTGAGGTATCCAATATGAGATGAAGGGAGGAACCTTGTGACCCAGATCTTTGAATTGGCCTGTTGCTGATGGGCCGCACCCAGTTCTTGAGACAGAGTGCTACCTGAGGAACCCATAAGGTGGCCCTAATGGAAGTTAGAATATTGAGGGCAGATTACCAGCATACCTATAGATAATGGATATGTAATATGTATGTCAGGCACTCTATTTATGATATGGTTTGGATGTTTTCATCATACCAGACCAGAAGAAGCCATCACAATATGCATCCCATGTTTTGATCTTTGATGTGAGGAGTTAGCCACACGTTCACCTAAAGTCAAGCAGGGAGAAAGCTGAAATGGAGGAATATGCTGTAGCTTCTCTAGGGGTGCCCACACAAAGGCAAGTGTGTCCAAATTATTGAGTTTAGTGAAGATCCACATGGCACTTTATGCCTTTCTGCAAGGCATGTGAAAGTACAGCACTTTAGGTGGGCCGCTGCTCTGGTGAAGGGGCTGTAATGAGACATTTAGGCAAGTACTGTGGCAGTACATGCTTTAAACTGTTTTGCTATACTAGCGATAGAAGCGTTCTGCCTCAGGGAAGTGTGTGAAAGGAAACAAGGCTCAGCATTTGATGCCTTCTCACACCTCAAGTGCTAACCACTCAAAAAAAGACTGTGCCAAGGACTTCAAATCATGCAGGCAGATAAAGGCATAATAGCCTTGGGCCTTGTTTACTAGAGAAAGTTAACAAAAGTAACTGGTTGAAACAAAACCCACATCATGCCAAATACCAGTTTTTCACATTTTTACTTGGCTAGATACCACATGCAATGAGTTCTCCAAGAGACCCACAGACTGCAAGCTCTGTCCACTGGGGAAGCTGGTCACCCATGCATTTCTTTCCCAAGAGAAAATTGGTGTGCTACTTCCCATTTATGTATCCAGTTACAGTTCCTTCTAATTGTACTGAAGACTGATTTTAAAAGTGGCACTCCTTTTATGTGTGTAATTTGAATGTTGTTTGGTGTCAACTTGAGCAATGAATTCAGTATCAAGCAGCCGCATTGAAATACCAACACATTTTCTATGTATTAATAACATTTATTGCAATGCTTTACACTTGCTGTGAGTTTAAACTGCTGTTTAGCCCTGAATCAAAGTTAAAAGTATTCTTAAAAAAAAAGTTATGCTGCTGAGATAAGTAGAAACATACCTCAACTGTATTCAAGACAAACATATTAACAGAAATTGGACCATTAGACAGCTGGTGTGAGATATCTTAAAAGCTGGCACAAGTATCATGCACAAAAACATTACATTGAGATGGAAATGTTTCCTGAGCAACATGGTTAGCATAACCAGCTCCCCCTTGTGTAACCCAAAAAATCACAAGAATTACATGAGGAAAAGAAAACAGTTTTGCTTTGAATATTGGATTTAAGGTTTCATATGAAATGTGTGTTTAGGCCAAGTTCAAATCTAACCATCTAACTTCCATGTTAATCTTGTTGACAATGGGTGCATTGACATGAACAAAGCAGTAGATAAATGAGCACTGCTTATTGACAAGGATAGGCCTTTCCTCCACACTGTTCCACTGTTTGTCTAGATCACATTCAACAATAAGCATCCTATGCAATGAGATCATACAATGTTATACCCAGGGCTAGAGGGAGGGTCCTAGTTCTTAACACTATTGTATTAACACTAGATGCTGTTTATATTGCACAACTTTACAGTCAGGGTGGTGGGGAGCACAAAACACCACCACTCTGTGTATGAACTGCAATTACATCCATGTGTTAAAAAGTCTTGCACAGGCAGTGCTGTGGTTGGAATGCGAACAGGCAAACAAGTTAACACAGCAAATATACAGGTATTTGCAAGGTAATGGGAGGGGAAGCAAGAAATCATGCATGAAAACTGAAATCTGCACTATTAACAACCAGTATTACTAAGCTTAGTGAGATCAAGCAGAAACTAATTTGTTTTTGCAGAAAAGTGGTCAGGCTTAATTGATTTGGTTGCAACATCCCAAAAATGTTACTGCTATGGGACTGTGGGGATAATCCAGCTTCAATTTTAAAAAGCTAGGCTTATTTTAAGAGTATGAGTAAGTGAAACCATACTGTGCGTCAATGTACTGTTATAAAAACCAAAAAGCATACACAAACTCATTTTCCTTAGTTAATCAAGAGATGGAGAATCTATAGCAGATTCTTCATTTCCTCTGCGTTTTTTCATTTAGAGAACTGAAGTTTTTAAACACAGTAGCCTTTCTCTCAATGTATGATCCAAATGTGGACCCACTCCAAGTACTGCTAATTTTAAACTGCTCTTAAAACTGCAATCCTACACACACTTCCCTCAGAGTGAACTTCAGTTAACTTCATGGTATTTCTGAGCAGATATACATAGAACTGTACAATGAATACTTTGCATAGCACTGAGTGTTATACATGCTTCACATCCATCCTCTCTGCAGTCCTCCAAATACCCTTGTTAGACGGGGCTGGAAAACCTGTCATTCTGCTGTTCTTGAACTCCAGTTCATAATGGCTTCAGATAGTTTGGCCAAGGGTGAGGGATGATGAGAGTGGTTATTCATCAGTGTCTGGGAACCACAAGTTTCCCCACCCCCATGGTAAGGCAAGTAAAGTGCTGAAAACTTTTAAAGACATAACCCACTGTTTGAAGTACTTCCAATACATATTCTTTACTGTTTGAAGTCATTCTGATTTTCTTGACTGACAAAATACTTTACAGATCCCTAAACCATTACAAAGGCTCCAACATCACATTGGTATGGGGCAGAATCCATCATTTAAGAAATACAGGAAATCACCCATAGCATATTGATGCATGCTGCTCTCTGGTTACTGTGGTCAGAGATAGGGAGGCATTTTATCTTTGCTTAATAGTCCCTGAGGCAGCTCTGATAAGTGTGTAAGTAAGCCCACTTGCAGAAGATTGCTAAAATCCAGCTAACCTGCTGCTGCTGCTAGTTAGTAGTTCATAACTTGGGGGAGGAATGCTAAAGCCGACTGTCATTTTCTTTCCCCTAAAAACTTAGCTGAGTGATCCTTGGGCACTTAGGGCAGCAGAAGAACACACACTTTGCATGTATTTGGTTTGCAGTTCTGGTTTGACATTTTCACCATACAAGATCGAGGCAGAAGGCAAGAGGGAGGGTCCTCGTGGGAGACTCGCTGCTCAACATGGTCAGCTATGTAGCCAAGATGGCCGGCCAGAGTGAGAGAGCAGCTTGATTCAGAGTCCTTGATTCCCACCCCCAAGCACTGACTACTATAGCCACAGCCCTATGATTTGAGGGCTGTGGCTACAATGAGGCAAGTTTACATAGCCTTTGTGGCTTTAGATAGACAAATTATCTCCCTGATAAGCAACTTCTTTCCTCTTCATTTTGAGGGTGTCTGCTGTAAGTTCAATGGCCTTCCATTTTCGGTATTATCCACAGCGGAGATGTCAATTGCTAACAATACTAACATCCTGAAAAATTGCAAGGGTCTGAGTTGTTCCACAACAGGACTCTATAAAGCTCAATAACACAAGTCCCTGGTGGGTGGTTAGCATGTATTTTAAAAGCAGAAAAGAAATACAGTAGGGACAGGGAGAACAGATGTGCGGTCTTGCCTTGCTCCCCCCATTAATAGGAATAGAAGAAGAAACAGGGCGAGCTGTAGGAAGCCACCACTGGCTCAGCAAGAAGAAAAAAAACAGATGGAATTACCTTTTCAAGCGCACTCACCCAAATTGCTGTTGATATCCTTGATTATTTGTTTTGTCTTTGTTTTACAATTTGTAGTCTTATTTAAAAGCCTGAAAAGGATAATATCATTTCCCTCCAAACTAGTGGGGAAGGTCGCTGTAGCAGGATTGACTAAGCAGAGGCAGGTCTCATGCCGTAAATCTTTTCAACAGTGATTGAGAGATACCGTGAACCACCCAGTAAGTGCACCTGCAGTGGTTTCTGAACTTGCATCTTCAGGGCAGTTACTGGAAACTGATTTCTTCTGCTTCACATTTTACAAAACCCAGGCAATGGCAGACAGCTCTGACCCTCGACTGTCTGGTTCTGCCCATGCAACATAATGAAAGTACAGATTGTACCAGTTCAGGCTACAGATGGGGCATGCCACTTCTGCTTGCTCTTGTAGGTAATCAAAATATTTCCAGAAAATAGTAAACTAACCTAGCAGGGGGAGGGGGGTTGCTGTGGCTGTGCCCTTTACCTGATGTGCTGGTTTTCCATTTGCAGGGAGTGATTACATGAGTGACAATCAAGTGCAATATTTCTCTCTCTCACACACGCACCCCACCTGCAATGTGATGCTGCAAACCATTCTACCACACTGTGCAGCAGCACTAAGCTTGCAACAGAACTGGTGTCAAAGGTAAGCATAGCCAAGCACCTGCCAGGTCCCAGCAATGACCTGCTCAGAAGAGCCCCCTGGCTTTGCTCTTCCCCTTCCTCACTTCAGCCTGCTTTTTAGCTTGCCTCCCATCATGGCTCAGAAATCAGAGGTGCTGAGAAGGAAAAGCCACAGATGCTCCTGCCAACAGGCGCAGTGGCGCTCTGCCTGGCAAAGGAGAAGCAGCTCTCTCACTGATGAGGAGAAGTGAGGCAACAGCAGCTGGTGACAATGGCAATGAGAAGGCAGGCTCACGGAGGGAAGGGGCCCACTGGGGGCCACTTGCCCTGTGGCCCTCCAAAAGACCTATGCTGACATGGAATATTGAGCAGATTTACATGATAGGTGTACTGGTAGGAGTTAAAACTCTGGAGGGGGGAAGACTGCTGCTTCTCTAAAATGCCTCAAATTATTTATCCAAGTATTTGGTTACATTAATCTTAATTTATACATATAAAAAGTACTAATGCTTCCATTAGAGGTGCCTAGGCCTCTGGTTTATTTCCTGAAGGATAAGAAAAAAGCATCCCTGTGAAAAGCCTGGCTGTGCTAGAATTTATCAAAAACTGGCAGGCAATATTGGGAAAGGGGAATGTCTTACAAAAGGTTACACATTACTTTCCTGTAAAAGGAAAGGCTGCAGTGGCAACCAGAGCCCTTAGATGATGATGCAAGAGTTGAAGGGCGATCCCCGTTTACTACCACCCTGAGTTGGCACCAGTTTTCCCTTTCCATAGTACCCACAAAAGATGGCCCTCACCTCTATCTTTTTGGAAAGCAGAAGCATCCACATGCCATTCCCAAAGGACAGAAGTTTCCCACCACCAATCTCCCCAACTTCCTCGCCTTTGTTTCCTGCCTTTTCCAACTTGACAAATTCAAGGAGATCAATGCCAGTCTGGACTGCTTCTATTCCACTGGCACAGCCCAGGGTGATGTGGGCACGGCTGCCTTTGGGGAGGGTGACTGCTGGCTGAAGCACATCCACATCAGCTGGCCAGAGAAGCATTTGCTGCTCACTCAGTTCCACCCGGGCACCAACAGTTCTTGGTGTAATAAAGAGGGCAGAGATGGTCAGGAAAAAGGCTTTTCCATAAGAGGACTTCACAACCTGTGGGAGAAAGAATTCCTATTAAAGTTGTCAGTATAATGAATATCTTAGTCTTGGTCTGGTTGCATCAGTTATTGCTTGCATTAAACAACTACTTAAATAAAAAGAAGACTGCATCATCAGTGCCAATGCCACTCCTCTGTGGGGAGTGTACTCTAGAATTCTGGTGCCACTGAAAGGAAGGCTTTCTCACTTGTAACTGCATACAAGTTACAGTATTGTGTATTGTACAATATACAGTATATGGGGGGCACATATACTGACTGTATATGTGCCACTTCCTCTGAAGATCTTAAAGTGCTGAGCCGGCTTGTCTGGAGAGAAGCACTCCTTCGGGTAACGGTCCCGAATATTTGGATATTTAAGGCCCAGTACCAACACCATGAGTTTTTTATTTATTTATTTATTTTATTTTTTGATTTATATCCTGCCTTTTTCCTACAAAGGGCCCAAGGCAGCTTACATCTCCTCCCCACAACAACAACCCTGTGAGGTAGGTTGGGCTGAGAGTCTGTGACTGGCCCAGAGTCACCCAGTTGGCTCCATGGCTGAGCGGGGACTCGAACCCAGATCACCTGAGTCCCAGTCCCATGCTCTTCACCACTACGCCACACTGGGGATGAGGCTGGTGAGTGGTATTCTAAGACACTGGGTTTTTAATGGATCAGGAAGGACCCCAAGCTACATCTCTGCACTTTCAGTGGGAGTGCAACTTCACCCAGAAGAGGCTGCATAGCCATTTCCCATGATGGTAGTACTCCAGTTCATATCAATGGCCCCAGAGCTAAACAGGCTAAACAGGGAGATAAAAATGCCAAAACAGGGACAACAGAAGTTTTATCTAATTTGTACAGGCTTCCCTGCCTGATTTCCTGGAGCAGACATATCCAAATCAAGAAAATAAGCATTTCCATCTTGACTTCAAAATGTTTTAAAATAATATTTCCAACCTATATCCCACCCCTTAATAACTATATTAGGCTAACAATAGTCCATTTTCATTTTAAAAGTGAAGAGCATAGAGCAGTTGGACTTTCCAGCCTTAGCCCATCTTGGGAACTCCTCCAAATACTATGAGGACAAAGCAAAATGTTCTCACCTCCTGCTGAGCATAATCATCCGATCCTGGGGCTTTCCCAAAGTCAGTGAATTTTGTGGTACAGTGCAAGACTCCTGGAGGCCTTTTCACAAAGTAGCTGGTCAAGTCAAATTTCATTTTGGGGTCTTCGCTGGGTTGTCCGACTGCAGATCAAAGAGGACAAAACCAATCTTGACAAACCAGTTGTTTCCTGCATGCCCTCTCCGCCACCCCCAGTTTTTTCTTTTTATGTAACATTAGCTCAAACTCGGAAAACAGCAGCCATCAAGCACAGGCCAAAATTCTGTTCATCATTCCCTGCTTTTAAGAAATATCACAAACCAGCCTGGGGTAACAAGGCAGTAAATTCTACACTGAGTGTGGGCACATAACAAAGAGTTAGGACTTCTGAAACACCATAACCTAAAAGTCACTGTAATGAACATATTAACAGTATAATGCGATATCAACCCTAGTCAAGCACTCGATAAAGTGTGCTTTTTTTAACAACCAAGGAGGGGGAGGCATCAGTGGAAGGTGGCCGTCTGCAGTGGAGAGCCCCTGTCTCTAGCAGGATGATCCAGCAGGGAGAGCCCCCACTGCTACAGCCCTTCTCATGTCCAGCACAGCGAGAACAGCAACACAAGTTTCGGGAATGGAGGGCTCCCCCTCTTTGGATGTGTACACAACATACGTTATCAAATGCCAGAAAAGGGCCTACATCTTTATAATTCATATACAGTACTTTTTAATCCCATGAACCTGCCATGTTACACTAAAATTTAGTTAAGCATGGCCTTTCAGAAACTTTTCTAGCCAACGGTCAGGACTACAATGGAATGGAGCTGCAAACATCAGCCAGTCTGGCAGTCATAGACATTTTAGAGGGGAATTAAGCATTGACAGAAGCCATGTGGCCACAGTCAAAAGCAGCACCTTTGTGTCATCTCCCTCACCTCATAGCTAGAGCAAAAAAAATGCAGAACTGCACACTGCTGCACACTTCCTCACCTCTACTCATTTTATTGACAGAGACACTCACAGTATGGCAATGTTGCAACACCTATTTTGTAGCACTAGGCATTACCATGAGAAGAAATGAAAGACAAGCTTCCCAAAGTGGCCACATGGCTCCCTTTAGCTTCCAGCTGACTTGTAGCCTTATACCTAGGCCTGCTAGCCGTGGCATTTGTGCATCTTAAGCACTTGCTTTCCTTCTCATTGTGAAGAGGGCTTCCCTGCCCTCTTCAGCAGAATGATCCTAGCCCATTTTCATGTCTTAGGATCCAGAAAGGAAAGCATACTGAGTCACAGGGCACTGCGTCAAATTTTGAAAGGCATCAAATTATTTAGCTGAGAAACTGGCATGAACTTTTGAAGGGCAAGTGTAAGTGACAATAGCTTACGGAAGTGGTGGCAGACATGAAGAACCGATTACAGCAAATTGGGCTGCGTTTGTTCAGTAGCAGCTCGAGACCAGAGGAAGAAATAGCTGGATGACCTCCTTAAAGTCACTGCCAGTCCCAGATCTAAGGGAGCTGGAACATAAACAATCCCTGGCAAAGCCTAACTATGGGTGGGGCTGTGTATGCTATTATGCTTCTGCAAAGATCCTGTGCACAAACAGAAAATAGCATTCATCATCTAGAGAATTCCAACTTTCATTTAAAAAATGAGTTAAAAGCAAGTTAGAACCACTAAGCAGTTAGCTAGACAACTCCAGCGTGCTCTCTGGTTCACCAGAGAGGTTGTACAGCGTCTGCAGAAATCACAGAAGCTGTCCAAGGACAACAAAGATTTCCCTGGTGCAGCTTTCTCCGCATTTCCTGTGATTCATGGATGCTCAATTATGCAACGATACACAGGTGGGAAAGCAGCTCATTTTGAGGAACATATGTAAGTTGCACCATTCACCCTTTCTTAGTGCAATTTTTTCAAGGTAGGTGGGGTCGTTAGCAGAAAGCACACATAGGTGTTGCTTTGGCAGGAATCCTGCTTCTGTTAATAGGTTAGCAATTGAAACTGTCTAGAGATCTATAGTGCTGTTAGGTTGGCCATGAATTTCTATGTGATGGGCATGAAATAAATATAAGCCCTGGATGTTGAGCACATCCACAGTGATGCTTCAGTGGAGAAAAGGGCCAGGATGGCCTACTACCTGGATTAACGTTAGCTGCATGATTCAAGCAATAAGTTGTCTGAGAATAAGCATTTTGTTATCGGAGGACTTCAACCAGGATAGTTTTCAGTCTTCAGGCTGATGTCAATGTCACTTGGATGTCTAGAATAGCACTCCTGTAGCTACAGCCCCCAGGCTCAGCTTCTGCATACTTTTCTATCACTTTGGTACAGCAGGAGTTAAAAGCAGGATGACAGCTTTTCCATGGGCACATTAATGGGAACCTGCCTCTAGGACAGCATGGACAGAAGTGGTGATTTTTTTTCCAAGAAAGCATGGAGAGACCTGGGGACTTGCAAGCGTAAAACTGACTTACCTTAGGGCAGATGCTGTACAAAGGAGGTGCTGTGCTTACAACATGCTTCAAGCTCACCCAATACCCATGCATTCGTAGAGTCGAGCACTGAGTTTGAGACCTTCTGCTTAGGATTCTGAATGCAAGCAGGAGGCAACTAAAACAGTGACTCCTGAAAGTGGATTTGTGGACCTGATGGAGGGGAGGGAAGAACAACATCTGCCATAGTTCAACAGATTCAAGTTCTAAACTGATTTATGGAAAGCAACTATTGGGCAGGACTATGGAACCTACAAACTGGTCGGCTGGGGTGATTCCTACAGGCATTGGAAAGGTGTTGCAGCTGCAGGATGGGGGAAGAAATGAAGCCACAATTAGATAAATTGGGAAGCTGCTTAGAGTCAGCAGGACCCACATGCTAACTATTAGGCAGGGAATCTATAATCTACAGTCCATCAGAGAATCTATAACCTATCCAAAAGAAAAAGAAAAAGAGCATTGGTCCATACCAATATTTTATCCTTGGACAACCACCCCAAACCTTGTGCCCTCTAGATATGTTGGACCACAATCCCCATCAATCCTAACCAGCATAGCCAATGGTGTAAGGGATAATGGGAAATGTAGTCCAAAACTTTTCAAGGGCATCACAGTGGGGAAGGCTGTCTCAAGGCAAACAGACAATCCTGGGAGGATGAACTCTTGTGATTTACCTTAAAATGATTTATGCAAAATTTAAAATTTCATTTTCTGTAATTCATTCTGCTTTCACTATTGAGGTTCTCCAAACATTGGAAAACAATTGTGGTACAAAGGAAAATGGAGCCATTCCTAAACTTGCCAGTCATTCTGAAAACTTGATTTTTTTAAAAGGGGTGATCAGCACAGGACACAACACCCTGAGAGTATCAGCAAAGAACCCAAGAGAAGCATGTTGGAAGCTAGCCAAAAGCATCTCTTCCCATGCTTACTAGCCAAAGGACAACTCTAATGGGTTAGTAGAAGCCAGATTTTATATATAATAAAGAAAGAACTTTTGAGGACCCACAGTGCTTATTGGACTCCTTTTTGAAGACTTTAATACTGGCAAGCTCATCCAAAAATGCCTGTCCGGTCTTCCGCAAATTCTCCGAACTCCTTTTGCTCAAAAACCACCCATAATACAAGGGTAAGAAGTCCTTTTCTAAGCTGGGCTTCAGCTTCTTCAGCTCATCCACTGAAAGTTTCCACTGATTCTTATCCTTGAGCTGCAAGCAATCCATTTTCCATGATGTTTTGGGTTCCACAAAGATGACTTTGTAGCGGTACTTGTCAGCAATGTCAAAGAGCTGCTCTAGTCGCTCCCGTTCATGGTGGGTGTCATCCACTACCAGTACGCTGATGTCACGCTTGCAATAGTCAGCTAGATCCTCATCAAACTTGCTGTAATCATCGGGAATGGCACTCCTGATAGCAGGCTGAATTTTGTAGTGGTCGGCAGAAATGACTTTGCAAGCATCTTTGTACTTGTCTTGGATGGCTTGAGCCAAAGTGGACTTCCCACTGCCTGGCAGACCCCGAAGAATAAAAAATGTTTTTGATTCTCGGATGGTGGTGATAGTTTCATCATCATCCAAAAAAGGGAACTGTAAACTCTCAGGGCGCTCTTTGGGCTGGGAAGTCATTTTCCTGAATATCTTGGGCAGGAATGTATGGCTCTTCCGGGCGAAGCCTTTGTTCTGAAATCAGAAAAAAAAGCAGAACAAAACAGAGTAGTCGTGTGGTTCTGTTGGAACATTCCAGAGAGAGATACCATCTTTTGGCCATTAATAATAGACCACTGTTTTCAGCTGAAATGGAGAGGGGATTTTTTGTTGTTGCTGTTGTTGACTATTCAGATGAGCACAAATGGCCCAGTGATGGCTTTAAAATGATGCTATTATGTCAGTTAAAAGCTTGATGCATTCCAGAAGCAGCTACGGTGATTAGTCTGTTGTAGCAAAACTCCTATGGAATCTTAAAAACTAATATTTACTAGGGTGCCCAGAACCGCACGCCACAGATAAGCCTAAGTATTTGTTCACTGTAGTTATGAGTACCTTCCAGTGCAGAGCAACTGGTCTCTGATCAGGGCTGAGCCCTTCATGACTGCAAACACTGGAGGCTTAAGAGCAGGGCACAAGAATGAGGAGGCAAAAATGGCTGCTGCCACTCCTCTCACCCTGCACAGAATGCGCATAAACCTCCACGTCCGGGGCTTATAATTACAACCACACACTGAGACAGGATGGCCGGGACCTGTGCTTGGATCAAAGACCAGTTTGGAGCCCTGCCTAAGCTGCTCTAGAGGCCACACAACTGCTACCCATTACAGTATTATGTTCAGGGTTTCCCTAAATCCTGCACACAGTAGCCCATGAACCAAGACAGGGATACAATAAACACAATGTAATCTCACCCATACCAATAAGGCAAGATGGGGGAGATGGTGGGTCACCAACAGCTCCGTTTCCCTGGAACATTTCTTAAGCTTGTTGCTTCGCCACTATACTAGGTTTCAAGTGCTACAAATTGCTCAGCTTCACTGTTCTTAATTATGACTTGGTTGACTTGCTGTTTAAAACATACTTTTTGCCTTCAAAAAATTATTGCTTACTTAACCAGTTGGAGGGCACTGGATGTGAGAGCATGGAGCATACTGCTGCTTCTCTTGAAGAAAATGAGACTGCTATCCGCGCTTATCCCCAATTACAAATCTCTGTCCTCCATTTCTACTATGGTTCTCTAATAGTAGGTCACTCTCTTACCTATTTTATGGACAGAAATGTTTTGGTATCCTGTACCATACTGGGTGAAGGCTAAATCGACAATAAATGTAAATGAGATTCTTCCTGCTATATAACTTTCTGAAAGTATGCAAAATCACCACCTTGAATTTAGAACAGCTAAGCAGGGATGTCACGGATAGGATATTTTGGAAGTTTTTTATTCTTACAGTCACCCTAATCAGATATCACTTGACTGTCAAGTACATGGCAACAACCATCCAAGATCATCCTTCCTCCCTTCATTTTCCCCTCATCTGCAACTTTTTGGATTTACTTGGAAAGGGAAAAACAAAAGCAAAACACTTAGGTCTGTGCACAATCAACTGTGCATTGAATTAAGGACAATTGGTTACTGAAAACCAAATGACTAATCCTATATTCCTAAAATCTGCTGACCTCCAGATGTACCCTCCAGTTTAACCTTCAGTTCCTCTCCTTCATTTCTAGCCCCTGTAAAGCTGTTACTATCACTACCGTTCTTTCTTTTCAGTGTTACATCACCAGTCATTGCTGCTCTTCCTAATTAATTCAGATATTTTGAAGGTCATTATTTGAACATTTACCTGTTCTGCACGATTGCTGGGCTGAGCACATACTTACTGGGTTCACTTAAGATTTCATCCCCCAACCCCCACTTCTAAGAAATGAAAATCTAAAATTACACAGGAGATGCAAAGCCAGGAAGGAGAAAAACGTATCTTGTATACATAGCCTTCCACAACATGGCACTCTCCACATGTTTTGGGACTGCAACCCACATCATCCTGGGCTAGCACAGCCATTCACCTGCTGGGTGGAGATGATGACAGCTGTTTACATATATGAGGGAACAAGGTCAAGAGAGGCTCTATACCTATTTCACTCTGGACAAGTTTTCTTCTGGTCCAGTATATACAAGTAAGATCAGATGGTTTTAAGCATCAGGCACCTGCACTATTTACACATTCTCTAAACTGGAAAAAAAAATTGGTTTCTCTGCCACAGGAAGCAGCTGAAATCAGTACAAACATGGGGATTTTAGCATACAGTGAACATACCACAGGGCAGGCAAAGCACAAAGACAGCATAGATTGGCAAAAGGAGTGAGTCTGCAAAGGCAAGGGAAAAACTGAAGATCAAGAGGGTTTTAAAGGAAGATTTCTAGAGAGAATAGCAGTAGGTAGGTCTAGCGAGGGACACTGGTTCTTACAAATGCTCTGAGCGCCTGGAAATCAAAGTTGGCGAGACAATCATTTAGGCTAGCTTAGGAGGGGATACTGGACAAGAGGAGATTAAGGCAGAGACTGGGTTGGATTCAGGGTCTCCCTCTCCCCACAACACAATTAGCCCCATTCCACAATCTTGCCTCACCATTGATGCAACATCTTCAAGGAGTTGAAAGGGCTGCCATGGGAAGGAGAGACCAGGAAATCACTTCTGCCAGTGCAACTGATACTGTATAAATCTGGATCCAACCCAGTAGCCAAGTTCCCACATAACAAGAAGCCACCATGGGTGACTTTCTCCATGGGACTTCTCATTGCATGTGAACCAAGTGGTGGTGGGTTGCCTGGTTTGTTATAAATCTATCATGGGTTCAGGGCAGCTTGTCAACCATAACCCATCCTCACCAGGTTCTCAAATAATAAAAGCTGCATGAAGTATGCACCACTGCACTCTCACCATTCAAAACAGCCACTATAATGGAAAGTTCCATGAGGAAAATCAACCACAGTGGCTTTTTGTGAAATAAATCAGCATCTTAAACTGTTTGGAGCTGCATATTACTGAAGAGAGCCCTTCCCCAACCTGTTGTCCTCCTGATTTGTTGACTACAACTCCTACCATACTAAGCCACTGGCCATGTTACTTGCTGCCTGGGAATGATGAGCGTGTAATGCAACACACTAGAGGGCAATATGCTAGCAAGAGCTACTGTATAGGACATTTTAGAAGCCTTTTAATGGACCTGTGCCTCCTACTTTAAGTAACTACTTAAAGTTGTAGTTTATGTTACCGCTCCTCGAGCCTTGCCTTCCTCACCTGAGTCGCCACCAAATGTGTTGGACTACAACTCCCACCATCCCTGGCCAAACACATCTAGAGGGGACCAGCCTGGAGAAGACATTTATTATGGCAGGAGCTTCGCACTGTAGAAGTTACTGAAGGCAGCAGCTGTTCATCAGTGTGGTTAGACGTTAACACCTGCTGACAAGTGCAGCCTGAAGCAGTAAACTTTATCTCTGTTCCTGTCTGTGTCCTGTTACAAGGCAGAGGCAAGATGCGGTTTGTGTTTGGCAAACATAAGAGGACTTGAGTGCTCTTGCACTATTTAGATGAAAACAGCTGCCTGAGGAGCAGCAGTTAACAATGGCTTAAAAAAGAAAGAGAGACAACAAAAACAACAATTATGGGGGTGGGGGAAGCACTGTGAGCATCAATTGTTTTGCAAAGAAACTGAAATAATAAATGCTTGTATCAAATGGATGGGCGGAGACACAGACAATGGTACCACACAAGGCTGTCTTAAGAGGAGAACTTGGATGGATTTCCAGTGGAACAATTTGTCCCATTCTGCACAAAACAGGTCCACTTCTCCCCTTGCCCCCCCCCCAGCAATAAGGGAGGGGCAGCGAGCAGGGCAGGCGCAGCAATTCGGCCCGCTCTGCCTAGCAAAGATTAGGGAGGCTGCAGGTATCACCAGGACGGTGCGGTGGAAACAGTGTTGGACTGGGGGCCAGGGAGATCCGGGTTCTCATCCCCACTGGGTCTTGCAGCTCAGTGGGTGAGTTTGAGCTAGCCGCAGACTCTTGGGCCAACCTACCTCACAGGGTTGTTGTAAACATAAAATGGAGCTATATAAGGTACCTCAAATTCCTCACAAGAGGATAAAAGGTGGGATATAAATAAATGCAATGTGACTATGATTTATGAAGAGGAAGAATTATGTATGAACCTTGCTATTAAAAAAAAGGGTTGTGTTCTGATATCTAATAAATTCCTCCCCAAATCCCACAATTTAAACCTTCTTTATGATTGCCCTCTATTATGTTCTTCCTTTGCATTTAAATCTTCTCGTCATTTTTAATGTATCATTTCTATTTTTAATGTATCAGTTAAACTCATTGCCGGAACACAAGCAGAGTTATTCAAACGAATCTGAGCCTTTCCTACAAGTTCTTTGCAAAACTGGATAGAGAACAAGCAAACACTAGTAGCAACTCCCTGCAACATGTCTTAGCCAATGCCCATTGCAACCATTGCAAGAGGATCTCTTTTTCATTCAAGTCTGGCATTCATGTGGAAAGCCACTCCTAAGCTAAAGGTAAGGAAAAGAAAGCACTTAGAATAATAAAAGAATCTCAGCTCCACTCCATGTCATCACCAGATAATTAACTATGAAAATCAAGTCGACAAAAGCTGAACTTTCTGGTCCACAACAAGACCAGCATTCTGATATAATGTGTCATTCAAATAAAAAAAATCAGTGTATGCCTCATTCACTGTAATATGTTTGTTTAGCATGCCCTGCATGATTAAAGGCATTCCTCAATTCCTTTGAAAGATATAAGAAATAGAATCAGGAATATTTACTAACTGCAGTATTCAATGGGTCGTAATACAACCTTGCATATCAAGATTTCAAAACCACAATAAAATAGGGAAGTAGGCACCATAAAGTGATTTCACAGTTAATACACTTGAGGCAGCACATCCAAAACGTATGAAAATAAGTATAAAAAAATGTTTTCCCTGAAGAGGAAGGTGGATGTACATTTGTTCTTACAAGTTGTTACAAAATTCAGTTGTCAGTTGTTCAGTGATGTTCCTGTCACCTGAGATCTGGAGGCTTTTTTGAGGACGGTAACCAGACACCTGGGTTTTCCCAACAGCTGCAAGCTTTCCTTTAAGAGGAAAGATTTACTTTCAGCAGTTGAACACCTCAACCTCACAAAGTTATGCAAGTTTGTTTCATCCTTGGAAATAAGCCTGCAAAGCTGACTAGTCCACACACCATGTTACTGGCTTGTGTGAGCACAGTATTGGTATATTTGAGATCTTGTTTTATTTTTTAAAAAGGGATTATGTAATTTAAGAACTTGGGGTAAAGTACCTTGGGTAAGTTATGTACTGTTCAATATTCCTTATATTTTCCCCAAATGTATTTTCAAAAACTATACAGCATTTCAGAAATTGGGAGAAAGGGTTCTCCTCCCCCAGCTAATGCTTAAGAGGGCACATTTGCCAGTTAGAGCAAGATTTAATTCTCCCAATCTTAGTTTGCATTAGAAGGCTTCTCTCTTATAAGCTGTTTTGGAGCTTATACTACTACTTGACACCTCTTTTCTGCTGGATGGCACTAGAATCTAGACAAATTAAAAAGAAAGGAATGGCCAACTTACAATTTTAGCACTAGCACTCAATCCAAATTCTCATACTAAATCAAATTTATGGGGGAATCCTGATTTGAAAATGCTGCAATATTCTTTTGTGGAGGGATTGAGTTGAAAGTAGAATGTGCACTTTAGATTAGCTAACAGGGTCAGATGGTGAGCTTTTACCATTTCCATTACTGCTGCAATGGTATCATTTATCTCCTGCTGAGTGGCAATATATTCTTTTACCTTCTGGTGTCTATAGACAAGCCATCAGCACCAAGCACTTCAACACCTCCTGTACTGTCGGAGGAATTATTTGGTTCTTTACAGAAAGCTAAGCCTATGATAGCAGTTTATAAATACCTTTTGGAGCATAATAAGCAAGATGTTCTGTGCGTTAGAGAGCAACAGGTATGATACAGCTATAATGGAAATCTGCCTAGGCATCCATATGTATAATTTCTGTTGATTTACAAATGAGGCTGATTCAACAAAAATAGATTTTTCACACCATAGAGCCTGGGTCCTCAAACTAAGGCCCGCAGGCTGGATCAGCCCACCATGCCCATTTAACCACCCCACCCCACAGGTTTTGCACTTGCTGGGCACACGCATGGCTTGCTTGCGAGGAGATCATTTTGGACTGTATTGGAGAAAATGATCTCTTTGCGAGCAAGCTGGCGCCTCACCCCATGCCCCTCCCATCCCTGCCTCACCTCATGTGCATGCCCCCCCCCCACCAGCACCACCCTGATGGCCTGCGCCCACTGCTGGCACCTGTCAACTGGCCCCCTTTAGAAAAAGTCTGAGGACTCCTGCCACAGAGGCTTGTCAAGAAGAACCAGGCTAGTTCCACCAGATGTAATTGCATGATAATGTATGGCTCAGCAACACATTATCCACAAAGAAAGCATGGAAGTTTCTGGCTGGAAATTACTGTGCACAAAAAATATTGGAACTGGAAACAAGTATTTTGCTAGCTGATAATAGATCATACATCTACTATTGACATTGCTTGTGAGTGTGCTCATTTGAAAGCAAGACAAAACCATGCTCGAGTCTCACTGGAGTTTCTGGCCAACTAAAATCTTAATGGAGCTAACTTTATCTGGAACAGGAGGTCGGCCTATCCTTCAAAAACATTATCATTGATGGGACTGCATTTGGTATCATCCACTGTAATTTTGTAGCAATCTCTATTTTATACATTGCCTTAGGCCCCTAGCAGTCAGGCAGAAAATATAGGTTAGGTAATAAAAGTCTGAAGCAACAAATCCTGTGAGTGCTCTTGAACTGTCAAAGAGTTTGTTCTTTTCCTCTTTGTAAGTAGAAAACATAACTTAGTTTATATATGCAACTACAGACTAGCTAGCAGTTCCTGTGGATCTATTTGAAAGAGTGAAGGAAGCTGGATCATGATAATGCAGTTCAATTATTACAAAATAATAATAATAATAATAATACCTGTCACCGAATTGCAGTTTATATGGAAGTTCACATCTATTGCCTGTGGCCAGAATTGGGATATATTTTTTAAATCACTCTACACATATTAACTAATTCACCAATGCCATGTTGTTTGTGTTATCACAGTCTTAGGAATGATCATCAATTGTACATTTTGTATTTCACTGTCATCTACCCCACTGCTTAGAATCTCCCTGCTGCCTCCACCCCATATGTAAACCTACCAATTTAAGATAACACCACATGCATGTAGTGACTGTAATCCACTTCAAATTCATGCCATTACACATTTGCCTTCAAGATGCTCCATTATTCTCTGGTGCTTTTCATGTATCAGACTAAAGCAGAAACAGAATGTGCTAGTATGTGTCTATGTGATTTGCTGCTCTGGCCTTGCTTCCTCATCAAATGTGACTGGATTGATTGCTCCCAGTACCAACACATTGCAGAAACATCCACTCAGAAAGGAAGTGGCATGTTCTCTCTCACTCTGTTTACCTGCTCTCTGCTTGCTTCCTTCCAATCAACCTCCACAAATGGTGGACAATTCACCTCCATCTTTGCAATCCATTCAATGCTTTTCAGTACAGAACTGACCCAGAATTACCAGTCTTCAGATGCACCTTCCTGTTGCAGGAGGAAGGTTCATCTGGAGTCAGTTCCAGGCTTCCTAAAACTCCTTCCTTTATAGGTGTCACAGTTCCAGGCTTCCTAAAACTCCTTCCAATCAAGAATCAGGCTTAGAGGTCAGGTGGCTTTTTTTATTCCGTGTGAAACACAGAAAGAGGTAGACATGTTATGTCTGTTATGTAGACATAGTTTGAATCGTAGAAATTCGAACTAAATAGAAAGCTGTTTCTTCATATATGACAGCAATGTTGCAGAGACTTCACTATCTTGTGATTGACTAAAGTAATGTTATTGTAATCAATTTGCATGAGACTGAAAGCAGAGGAAGTGTTAGGGGAAGCTTCTGAACAAGAAACAGATTTATTTATTTATTTATTTATTTATTTATTTTGAAGAAAGCTTCTTTTTAAAAGAAGCCAAGAGAGCTTCTAAAAATGAAGGATACCAACTACCTCCATGACTTCTCAGGGATCCCCACCCCTAATTTTATAAAACTAACATCAGATTTGGACTAATAAAGGCTTGAAGATGGTTTGAGAGAGACATTCACATCCTGTTCCAAGTGTCTTCTTGCTCAGCTGCATGTGCAGTTTATACAGAAGAGGAAAAGAAACCTAAATACAGAGCAAACACTTTTGAAGACTTAAAATCCCATGGGGGCATATATGAATAAATATTTGAGTGGTTTAAAGCTGTACAGCAAAAGCTGTACAGCTGTACTCCAGATGCTTGCTTATACAATTGTTCATTTGTATAAGGCAAGTAGCCAAGTTTCATTTACCTGCATCACTTCTGCCAAGAACAATAAGTAGCTGTGTGAGACAGTTCTAGGAACCCTTATTGTTCTGCCAGGCTTTATGAAAGGGAAGGTATTGAGAAAGTCTTGCTTAATACAGCCAAATGTACAGCACTTGGCATAGCTACAAATGGTTACTATTCCTCATACAATATTACATGCTTCCTTGAGGAGGAAAGAGGCAAGGTAAAAGAAGCTGAACAACTACATGGAATAAAAATTCTGAAGGAGAGCATGCACCTTCATCATAATCTCTCTCTGGTAATATAAAAACATAAATCCTGAACTATTGATGATTCCTTCCTATTTCTTCTCCTGCTTCAGAAAATATTTGAGAACACATCTACTAAAATTCTCAATTTTCCCCTCATTTTGCTTCTTTTTACTTCTTAGAATTCAGGTGCACTTTCCACTCAAAAAATATAAAAAAGCAAAAAGGGAAAGGGAAAGGAAGGAAGACAAGAAATAAAATTCCCAAACAACATAAATGGTGAATTCCCATACCAGCACAGCAACAGTATATGACTCCAAGTAAGTATTACGCAAAACCTATGATGCGAAAGTCTATGATGCGAAACCATGTGGATCTTTACTGGTATAGAAGCATACCAGCTTTGATTTCACAGCACTCCACCATACCTGATTATGAGTCCTGTGAAGCTGCATCTTTACACCTCCCAACATCAGTTCCAATCTAGAAAAAGTTGACTAAAGCTCTTATCTGTAATCATGGTCTTCCCCCAAGTAAATTAGCTATTTTGTATACAACTTTGCAAAGTTCAGATCATCTGAAAAGCTGACCAATGCCACCTGGCCTGAAAATCTTCTATCAAAGAAAGGTTTGGTCATTATCAAAGCAAAAACCAAAACCAAGCCACACACAAAACAAGCTAGATGACAGCAAATGTTTGGGAGGTCTTACTACAGACCTCTCATGTAAGAACACCTTCTCCAGAGCTCAACTCGGTCCACATTTCATTTCCCCTAAAATCAAGATTATGAAGTAACTTGCACCTGCTCCATGAAGCCGCTCCAGCAGCCATCAGAACATGTGACAGAGGGAAAAGTGGATTGCCTACATTGGAGTGTCACCAGACAGCAGCTGTTTTATAGTGGAGAGTGAAAGGAGGCAAAGAAGTTGGCTCTTCTTTGCCTCCCACCTTCCCATTTTCAACTCTTCAGAACTACCTTAAGGCTACCCACCAACTTTTCTGAAAGATGCTGCCCCTGCTCTGGGGCATTGAACAGTCCTGCCGCTCTGGACACACGTAAAGCTGCCCCTTGTTTTCCTGACAGAAACTTCTACATCCTTAATCAGCTGCATGAGGAGAAGAAATGCATTCAACAGGCAACGCGGGAAGCGTCACCTGTCGCACGGGGGCCTCGATGCAGCAGTTTAAAGGTGCTGAAGCAGCAACAGTGGAAGGAAGGAAGGAAAGCCTAGGTGCATGGACCCTCGCCAAGATACAAAGCAAGCCCGTGTCCGCTCCAGTAATCCGGTCCATACTCACCATGGCAGCGCCACCGAGCGGAGGGGTGGACGCAGCGGAATCAACGCCTCTGGTACGTGCGGGACCACAGGTGGGCTCGCTTGCGTTTAGAAGGACGGAGGCAGCGCGTGCCGGCTTTTCATAAGGCAGGAGGGAGGGGAAGGGAGGGGAGTGAGGAGGACAAGCCACGCCCCCTCAGTCCTTGCCTGGTACGACGACTACGAGAAAGCCCGCGCTGTTCGCGTGTAGGAGCAGAACGCGGTTCGGCTGCCCCCAAGCGGCCGTGAGCGGCAACACGCCTGCACCTAGTCTAGTCAGTCCCAGGTCTTTATTTAGCGGTACCTTTGAGGAAAAGGAAGGAAGTCAGTCAATTCTTCTACCAGGGAATTCCGCTGATCAGAGTAGCCATGGCTCGGCTTTGCGAGCCGGTGTGGTGGTGAGAATGTTGGACTTGGGATCTGAGAGATCCGAGTTGTAGTCCCCACTTGGTCGTGGAGCTCACTGGGTGACTTTGGGCCACTCACTCACTTTCACCCTAACCTACCTCACAGGGTTGTTGTTGTGAGAATAAAATGGGTCTAGGTAAGCTGCTTTGGCTTCCTCACAAGAGGGGTGGGGGGGAACGGGACATAAATGTAATGTGGTGATGATGATGGAGGACCTGCTTAGTTTGCAGGAGGTTCCAGTACATCCTGGGAACTCCAGGCAGGTCAGGAAAAACTCAGAAATCCACCTACCTATCAATGGTAGCAATACTCAGCCAGATGGACCAGGGGCCTGGCTTTCTTTGCTCCTATGACCTTAATTAAAATTGGTCCAGCCAGAAACCGGAAGGATAAATCAGCATGTGGCAAGAACTCCAAGGTTTGCAAAAGTACAATTCTTAAACAGCCCAGAGGACATAGCACGCTTAGTAGCCACCGAAGATGCAGTGATGGTTGGAAATGAAAAATAGGGAGTGGAAATGTCCCACTTGGTGGAAATAATCATAAGTCCTAAGCAGGAGCCATCTTTCATTCGGAGGGTATACTGCAATCTTTTATTGCCGATTCTACTTGTAATCCAAATTACCTTTTTCCTATGTCAGGACTAATTAACTGGTGAAAGGGGAATAGTTTCATGCTGATTTGACTTGACTTGCTTTTCAGCCATTTAGCAACTTAAACTTTATCTAGCTGCTTTTTGTCTGCCCAAGTGCATGGTCTGAATTGCATAAACTGATTTGTGAGTGGTGGTGGTAGATGAGCAGACTGCACTGCTTATGGAGATATGGTTATCCTAGATGTGGAGTCTCCAAGGGCACTAATGTGTCCACAAATGCCTCTCTTTGCATCTGTCAGATTCCCTGTCCCTCTGGATTTTTTTTTTTTTTTTTTTTTTTTGGCACAATTTAAAGCATCACGTAGGTATCTGGTACTCTGCAAAGCAAGTGCTGCCCTCCAGTGCCATATTTATTTGAGTTCAAAACAGTGGTTTTATATTTTGAAGATTAAACTTCCAGCTCTGCCTTGTGCATATCTTCTTCGGCAAGGTTTTCTTCTTTCTTTTCTTTTTTAGTCTCGCTAGGTTTAGAGAATGAGCATTTTATCACTGGCCAGGGCAACCATGCAACATGAATGGGCAAGGTTTCCTCCAGAACAGCCATTTTGACAACCCACAACATTCCCTCAAAATTCCAAATGTGCCCACCTGCTTAAAAAGGATAGGACCCCTTTTCAGTCCTGCTAGTTTCTTCCAGTTCTGATTCTGTATATACTCCTATTATCATACTAATCTAGTTAACTGAGTGTTTATGTTATACCAGTGACTATAGACTATGCGCTAGATTCTGAGAACTAGTGTTTTGAGAGCAAGACAGGAACAGCATGAAGTCACACAATGGTATGACACCTTAAATAGGAAACTGGTGCTTTTGTGACTGGATATGCACATGTAGTTCCCTGTATTTCCTGTGTATGAATGCCTACAACATTGTAATTTCTATATTTAAACAAAGGAAGTAGCAAGTTACAATCTTGGTAGTTGTTAATAAGCTATTCTTAATAGCAATTTTAGCACATATTCATGTACGTGCAAATTTCTCATTAATATGCTGCTGCTTCTTACATGGATATGCACAGAATCACAAGAGCTGGAAGAGATCCCAGAGATCTCCCCCCTTGCTCAATGCAGGTTCTGCACTGGATTTATCTACAGCATCCCTCACAGATCTTCCTTCAAACTTGCAGAAATGATATCAGGTTTTTGAAGGGTAGGAGCCAAATTTGCTATTCTTGAGCAAGATATTGCAGTGTGTGTTACTGATCCTGATTTAGATCAATTGCAGTCAGGTTTCAGGTTGGTTATAGGAAGAAAACTGTCTTAGTTGTCCTGGCTGATGACTCAACACCAATTAATGTGTTGTAGGAGTGTGACGCTGTTGATTCTTGTGAAACTTTTAGCAGTTTTTAATGCAATCAACCATGTCATCCTTCTGGATATATGTATTGGGTTTAGAAGGCATGGGGTTAAAGTGATTTTAGTCTGCTTTCTAACATCTATGTGAAACTACTGCGGAAAATAATCCAGAAATTTGGGATGAAGCATCATTACTGTGTGGATGATACTCAGCTCTGCCTCTCACTTATATCTACATATCCCAGGTTGTGGAACTCTTGATCTGAGGTAAATAAGGGTGTAGAAACTGAGATGTAATCGCAACAAGATGCAAAACATTGGGTAGAGGTGTACAACCGCTCTTGAAAGGGGCTGTATTTCCCTAAAAGCTCATGGTCTTCCAAGTCCTCCTGGCCTTTCTCTTAATTCAGGAAGCCCAGATGGCTTCAGTCTCCAAGAGTGAATTTTATCAGCTTAGGCTGGTACACCAGCTCTCCTATCTGGAAAAAGACCTTGCCCCCAGTGTACTGCTGTAATGTGATGTACAAAGAGCTGCCTTTGAAGACAGTGTACAAGCAGCAGTTGGGGCAGAAAGCAGTCACCTAAGTGCTGGTGGAAGGGAGATGGTTCAATCATATTCATTCCTATCCTGCACTCGTGTATTTCCAAGTCCAGTTTAAGTGCTGGTTTTAACCTTTAAAGCCTTAAATGGTTTGGGACCAAGTCAACTGAAGAACTGCCTTCACCCATTAAGCCTACAAGCACATTCAGATTCGCAACACAGGTTGTTCTCATTTAACCACCTTTGAGAGCAGTTAAGCAGGCAAGTACACAAGAGAGCTTTATCCACAATGGCCCCATATCTCAGGGGTTCATCAGGACCAATTGCTGCAGATTCTTAGAAAGGATCCATGGACTGACTTAATTTAACCTTCCCCTGACTGTACTGTTCTGCTCTGTAGCTGTAGTTATGCTGTGGGTTCTGTCTTATACTGATGTTTTTATTAATGTTTGCCGTTATATTAACTTATTTTAATATGGGCTGTGCTGTTGTAAGCTGCCTTGGGAAGGTTCCTGTTGTGAAAGGTGGCCCAGAAATATTTTAAATAAATAAAGCTGGTCAGTGAAAAGTAAATATAACCACAAATAGCATTTGAAGAATCTTTAATGGTTAGAGCAGTTCCATTTTATTTCCAGTACCTAGCCAACCAGTGGGCTTTTGGAATGTCTTGCATAAAATTACCACATTTACTACATTCTTGGATTCTCCCTTTAAAAATATTCAGAAGCAATGTGGTTCTTTTTGAATGTCCTACAAAACACTAGAAATAATCTGGAGAGAAAATATTTTGGAGTGAAATAAATGACAATGGCAACGACAATTCCAGGCTTAAAAATGTTTATGGACTTCATCCAGGAATGTCTTCACTCTGCTTTTCTGTGTCATTCTCTTGTTCTGTTCTCTCAGTTTCTCCTCCAGATTCACCTTGTGTCATTCCTTCCTGCCCAATTTCTCCTTGTTTGTCTCCTCCCTCTATCTCTTGCTCATCCCCATCCTCAGAAGTAAGCGTGTCTCCTCCCTCTGTATCTGATACCTGTTTCTCTCCATCAGATTCAGTTTTCTCAGACTCCTCCTTTTCCTTTGTTTCCCCTGTGTCTTCCTCTTCTGTTTTTGCATTGTCTGCATCCCTTTTGCTCTTTTCCTCTTCTTCCTCCTCTTCCTCCTCTTCTTCCTCTTCTTCAAACTCTAGGAAAAAAATTGAAACCCCGAGTGGACCCTCTCCAGGCTTGTATAGTGCAGTCCATCACTACAGGTTAAGGCGGGTGGCAACTTGTCACTCTCTGTATCTTTTGACTAGAATCCCCATCAGTCCTAGCCAGCATAGCCAATGGTAAAGGAGCATGGAGTCATGGCTCCCAGGTGTTTTGGCTTACAAGTTGCTCACCTCTCACATTTTGCAGGCTGTGATGATGAAGATGAGAAAACTGGCAGCTTGCCCAAAGCTAAAACATCATAGACTAAGTTTATGGTCTTAGTTTATGGGGAGACTCAATGGGTGACTTTTGTTTCCTATTCAGAGAATGTACCTGCTCTTGCAAGATCAGGTTATAATACAACTGCTCTTTGAAAATTGGAAATCAGAGGCACAGAAGCCAAATGAATTTGAGGCTAAAAGGTAAATAAACTATATAACATAATAGGCAAGAAAAAGGGAGTTTATCTATTGTCCAGCCTAGGAGAAAAACTAAGAGGGGACAAAAGAGAAATAGTACCACCTATAGGTCAACCATGACATAGCACTACAAGTAACAACATTGCATTATTTGTGTGTTATGTTTTTTAATTTGCTTATGTACTTCCCAAAGATAAAATATTAAATTAATGAATGTCAGGCACAGTACTTCTGGGGAACCCTATTCCTTCATTCTCAGGCCGATTCCACCACTAATTTCTTCAGAAGTCTCCTGTTTTACACTATGCAAATGAGGACAGGCCATGGGATGCCTACAATCTTCTGTATGTGGCAGGGTAGGGAGTCCCAGCCCTGTGAAGGATCTCTATCTAGCCCACAAATAGGGTTCCCTTGGACCCTCTCCCTTGGAGGTCCTGCTCCCTCTCATGGCACTAGCATTGTGGAAGGAAACAGCTTTATCATAGACAGGACCTAAGACCAGGGTTCCCAGCATTCACAAAAGTGTGTTTCCTTTCTCTAGCACTGGGAGAGGACTCCATTCTGTTCTTTCCAATCAGTAATCAGAGCTAACAGCAGGTTCCCCGGGTGTGCAGCTCAGCTGTCAACTGGAAGGATTGCTCCTCCGATCATTGGTCAGGTCTCTTTCCCTATGCAGAAAGGAGCTTGGAGCCTCTCTGCATGAAGAATGGGAAAGAGTGGGAGTAGGGGGCTTAAGAATATCACAGGCTTTGTGGAAGAGCTCTGTTCCCTGTTCACATCTGGGCAGCTGCATTGGTCTTGGAGATGTGGGAATATGAACCCTGGACCCGGAAAGGTTCCCCACACCTGGTATACAGCTTGGTGTGTGGACCAACCTCTCAGTTCATGCATCCTCTCTCGTCTCTGTTCCTCTTTCAACTCTTTAATGAATCCTTTGTTGGCTTCATCCAGGGCCTGCAAAAGTAATCAGGAAAACTAAATGGGTAACTTCAGAATGGCTGGATGAAAAATCCTCCTTTCCCCACTGCGATCTACTTCTTTAATGTGTAATCTGCACATGAGAACATCACAGTGAGTATGCATACTATTGAGACAAGACTGTCATGATGTTTGGAGTATGGAACTAAAACATGGTGTTTTTATTTCCCCCTCTCCCCCTTAAACAGGGTGACATAGGGAAGGGATCCATCTGATGGTGCAAACACAAGGGCTCTCAACTGGCAGAAGCAAGGGAGATGTGGTGGCAAGGAAGCCAGCTGATGGAATGGAGAAACTATCAAGTCATGTGATTTGAAAATAGCACGTGAATGAGCTACCAGGAGGATTGTACTTGAAGAGTGAATAAACAAATCACAAGAAGAACCTTGCTGACTCAGACCAAAGATCCATCTAGTTCTGTATCTTGTTTCCAATAGCCAGCCTGATGCTACTGGAAAGCCCACAAGCAATCCTGACTTACTCTTTCTCTCTGCACTTATTATTCACAGATGCACTGCTTTGGAACATGGAGATTCTGTTCAGCTATCATAGCTAATAACTGTTCTTCCATAAACAAATGAAAATGTGATTTTAATGTTTATTATGTGTTTTTATATGATTTTATTGATTGTTCATCTGTAACCCACCCAGGGAGCCTTGTAGCTAATGGAATGGGCTACAAATCTAACAAAAAACAAAACAAAAAACTTACTTCTCCAAGTTTACCTCTTCAAAATAGAAAGCATGAATGGAAAGGAGGCATTATTTTCCTCTTTTCTACAGGCTTGCCCAAACTTTTAAGAAGTTGTGACACTTGCTCCCTCCTGTGCTTATGAAGTTGCTGTCATCCCCAATTACAAATCTTTTCTGAGAATATTGCTCTAGCTCCAGTGCTGCCTGCAACAATTCTTCCGTGCCCAGCCAACCCCTACTGCCTTCTGTCCAATCCTTCTTGCCACTGGCTAATCTTATGTATCACTTCAATCCCTGTTTGCCCAGTTCACACAACATATCATGCACATTCTGTGCCATCTGACGCTCAGCCTGTAAGTTCTGATCCTATACCAACGATGCTTTGGTCCTATAGCTCCCATTCAGCAAGCGCAGTGCAGCCACAACCCACACTTTGGGAATCCTGAGCCATAATGGAAAATTAGTGCTTCTATCTCACCCTGCTGCATCTTTCTAGTTCCCCTGACAACCTCCGCCTGTTGATTATAGCCAAATACTTACAATTATTATTGCCTGCTGAGCTGCATCATTATGGATGCGTTTTGCCTTTTCCAGAGCCTTTTCAAAGTATGTGACTGCCGACTGGAAATCCTCCAGTTTCACTGTTTTTGTTGTTTTCCAAAAAAAAGGAGGGGATAAAAATCAGCAAATTATGGTCTTCTGGGAAACCCATACAACTAATCCCTACCTGATATATTTCTAAATGATTATTAAACTTTTCTTGTGATAATATGCAGAAGAGCAGAGTATTCCATCTGCTTCTGTTTATTGTGCAGTATAATAAAACTGCAGGAATTGACCATGATGCTGTTTATTAATTTTAATTTTTAATATCATGTGTTTAATCCTTGTCTGCACTCTGTGCATACAACAGAGGTTAGGAGAGAGCCATGTCACCTGAAAAACAGAATTAAATAAAAATGCTCACAAGCTGCTGAACTGTCTCCTTCAGCCTCTTTCAAAAGTGCAAGTCATGGCTCTTTTTCAAGACACTGAAGCAGACACCCGTGGATGTTGGCTCCCCAGACAGATGCCTAATTTGCCTTTATATTGTATTGGCCTTCCCTGCATTTCCAAGGCAAATGTGCAGACTAAGATTGTCAACTTCTTTGCCAACCAAAGTTCTTGTACTATATGGGAGGCAGTTCAGCAGAGACAACTATTTTCATCACAGACAGAACATAAACAGGCGATACTGCTCTTATTGATATTCTCTGTCATTAGTTATTAAACTTTTTATATTCCACCCTTAACTGAAAAACAATTCAAGGGCAATCACAGGCCCAGGATGATTAAAAAATTAGTTTTTGTCAGAAAAGCAGTGGCAGCCCTACATAACAGACACAGCCCAGCTAGAGAAGAAAGGTGTTTAAATGCAAGATTTATGCAAAACTGCTCACCTTGTGCTTGTGCCACCAACACACCACCATTGAGTTGCCACTCAATGTCTCCCTCCTCCTCTGCGCACTGCAGGGACTTCTCGCCATAGTCCCGAGCCTTATTTGCATTATTGAGCTCCAAGTAGCATCTGCCAATTTCATGGAACAACCAAGTCTTCTCCAAATTGCTCTTTACAAGAGGAATTTTCTCTTCCCAGCTTTGCAAAGTAAAAAACAGAGATCAATCAATGAATTCTTTATTCATATGGACCAGCCAATAAATAAAACACAAAATTACAATTAATTAAAAATAAGAAAAATACAGTACTAATAAAATTACAATAATTAAGATAAGAAAATAAAAGCATTCTGGTACAAACTACTAGTATTTGGCTGTAGTCAAGGAGATAAAATTGGATTGATCAGATAAAAGTAACTTAAGATAAAAAGGAGTAACCTGGATATTTAGAAAGGAGTGGGGATGACAGTTCCTGGTGAGCACCTGTATAGAGAGGGCAGTAAGGAATAACATGCTCCAGCAATTCAGTTGTTTCTCCCCTACATGGACACAGTCTCTGTTCAAGGGATATTTTTTGATATCTCCCTTCAGTAATGGCTGTTGGGAAGGCATTGAATCTGACTAGAGATAAAGCCCTTCTAAAGTTGGGGATTGTTATGCTACTGAGATATCTAGCTGGTTAAAGAAGATGTGTAGAATGGTTCAGGAAGGTATTTCTGGACAGAACTGGATAATCTGTTTGTAGCTCTAAATCAATGGCCCACTGTTTAAGTTCTGCTAACACCTGTTCATAGCCATTCAAAGAGAGAGCTGGCCATGAATAACCATATAATTGCAATTTGACCTGTATTGCCTGGCTCCAAAAGCTCTGAAAGCTGTTGGTCATTATTAAAGGGACCAATCCAGCTGGAAAAAAGGCGCTTGAGCCAGTAAGAAAAGATGTAAATCCAGGCCGAAGATTCAATTTTTAAAAAGGCCAGCTTCACGTCAAATGACTGTGTTTGAGACACAGTGGGGTGCTTAGAAGATGGTACTCAGGAACTTAGACTGAACTTTTTCCAAGGGAAGAAAAGACCTGTAGGGTCCCAACTGAGCTCCAATCAGGAGCTGGGCTTGAATCTTAGCTGAGAAGACTTTATGCTGCCGGTATATACTGTGCACCTTTACAGAAATAAAAGGTTTGTAAGGCCGACAGTTTTTTGTGCATTTAAGATGACATAGTCAGCATGAGATTTACGGTTACCTGTAGCATGAAATATCCACAGATATTTGAAGGATTTGACCTGCTCAATTAGACGGTTATTAAGTTGCCAAACATGCATCCTAGGGCGCTTGGCAAAAACCACACTTTTGGTTTTAGAGTAATTAATTTTTAAACCATCTTGCTGGCAATGCTCAGCTAGTACATGGAGTGCCTGTCTCAGGCCAATCTGTGTTTGAGAAAGTAGCACAGCACTTTCTGCATATAGAAGAGCAGGGATGTGTCTATTTCTCAATTTCGGCGGATGAAGAGAAGGGCTGTTGAGTCTGTCTGTCTGTCTGTCTGTCTGTCTATCTATATAAATATATAGCTTTCTAAATCCCCCAGTATGGTTTTAGTCAAGCCCTGTTAAGCCCATCACTGCACCAGCATTACAGAGATCTACTCTTGTCCCCTACTGTGCTTTTCCATATAATTGCTACATAGCAACTTAAGAGGTGGTACCTGGGATGCAATAGGTGCCTCCTAGTGGCACTTGGTTGGGATAGGAGATAGCAGCTGATGAATGAGGAAAGCCTAGCTGAGCCTCATTAGCTGGGTTGTAGCCTTATGGATAGAAGATTAAGGCTCATAGCAAAAGCTCTCACCTTGGCAGAAATAAACTTGTTCCCTTGTTTCAGTTCCTCACTTTGAGTGTGAGCCTTCTGGGGACTCTGAATCTTCAAACCAAATACTGAGGCTTGCCAACCCTTTTTTTACATGAACTAGCTGAGAGTTTCAATATCATTAAACAGACATGGGATGGCATCGTCAGCTGAGTCACCAGAACAAACAAACAAACAGGTTCTGCCATTATAAACCTCAAGATTGGACTACTTTAAAAATGTCAGTTGTTGAGTGACTGAGTATCTCTAATTTCCCTGATGAGGTCTTTAATTGTGGAAAAACTCAAAAAGATCTGATAAAAAATGCTAAAAGTACAGCAAATTAAATAGTGTTGAAAATTGCCACAGATATACTCTACTCCAAGCAGTGGCTCAGTTTTTTCCCCAAATTTTGGTGAATCTATTGATGTGTGTTATTTTGGCTTGCTGAGGTGTGCCTTTCATTGGTTTCTTGAAGGCTGAGCTGTAATCAAACATTGCACAACCTCATCATTAAACACAGGGCATGTCAGTTAAGATATTAGCCTTCATTTCCAGTTTCTTAGTTTTGTGGAACCTGAGCCAACATAACTTAACTCTGGTTGTAAATCAGTGTTTGTTATCACTAAATATTTCTATTCTTCTATAAATTTCTGCATTTTGTATCTCCCTGCCCACCACAGAACTCCTCCTATACACTTCACCCTTTGGAAATTTTCCTTATCAATGCCATCATACCCATCTTCCATGACCATTGACCAAGCTGGCTGGCAATCCAACCATATCTGGAGGGCCACTATCCCCTCATGTGTATTTATCAGCAACTATGGTGGAAAACAACTCCTGTTAGTGCCTCACTGCTTCTCTCAAGGAGTTGTAATTTGTAAATTTAGGAGGGTGGTGAGAATTCACTGTTAGACGTTAATTCACAAGTCCTACAGACAGGAAGCCATGACAGTTCCATTTTATAGTATTATAGATCAAAGGCAAAGCAGTTGGTTTCAGACCATCCTCACTGCAGAAGGCTTTGTTAGTCTTTGGCTTTCACATACGTTTCAATGGCTTCCTGGTAGTGTCCCATGCGGGCATACACTCGGCCAATATTGTCAAGAGCTCTGGAGATGGCATCAGTCAGGTTGCTGAAATAAAGGCAAAAGAAAAAGACTGAAAAGTATGTTATCTCAAAACATCTTGGGGAAATCTCTGACCTACCCTCCTTCCCTATACCTTGCTACCACTGTAGTAAATTTATATTGTGCCATCAATGGAGTAGAACCAAGACAGCATTTTCCAGGTAAAAGATGCTTATTGTCTAGAATTTGCCAAAGGTAAATTTATACCAAAAGTATGTTGCAGGCCGAACTTTAAATGCTATGAAGCTTTCTGAGGTTTGAAGACATCTGAACATCTTTACAGATGAAGACAATGAATGCTCACAAGAGGAAATGGTGGGGCAACAAGGCAGAACAGATTTTGACTTGCTTCTAGTTTCAAAACAAAATGGAGAGAAATCCACTAAGAAAGAGGTACAGAAAATGTATAAAGAAGGAATGAAGTGATTGGTTGTTGCTGAAAAGGGTGTTTACAAGAGTTTGAGCCTCTTATATATTCTGTGAGTGTAATATGGCAACAAAAATTTGAATGTCTTGATTTGAACTTCTTTTTAATGGCTAGGCTAGGCTGAACATTTTAGGCACCAGAGAATGAAATAATTCTCTGAATAACATGGCTCAGGCAATGATGACAATCAAAAAACTGGAATCCTAAATCTTGCAGTTCCTGAACAGTCAGTAGCATTACAGCAAAAGAAGTCAAGTCAAGATACCTTGGCAGTAGAAAGATAAGAAACCCTTAGTGTCAAAGAATGAAACCAAATCCTCCAAAATATATGTTGGTTTCTCATCCTGTTCCATCACCTCCTACTGCCAGTCAACCTGAGTTCAAAATACCAGAAATAGTACAGTGATGCTATATGGTACAGAAGTGAACAATTTTAAACTATGAAACTGCCTTTTTAAATATATACCATGAGGTCAGCTGGCTTGAGTGCCATTTTTAGTATACAGACATGATATAAATTGAATAGATTAAGCAGCCTGTGAGTGGAGCCAGAATAAATTTTTCTGTACATGATGGCCTCAGGACATAATGACTCAGTGGAGCCTGAAGCTCAGTTGAAGCTGTTATCATAATTGGCTGCTAACAAATATTTCTTGTACACCTACACTCCATTTTCCTCCATGAAGCTCAAGATTCAGGGTTCCCAAGCAGTCTCCCACTGACAAGAACTAGACCTCAGGCGATATCTGAATGACCTAGAAAGTGTCTTGTTTCCCATGGTAAGTTTTGCTTTTCCTTTTTCCCTTCTATGCTCCTTAGTTCAAGACCTCAGGATTTGAACTGATGGATGCTGAGACACTAAGAAGCACTGGTTGATCTTTCAATTAACCTTTGCACTGTCACAAAGTCTACCCTTTTCTCATCTTGATGATAAATAAACCTCATGGTTTTCCGTTGTAAATCCAAAACAGGACACATAACTTTACTAAATTAATGTTCAAAATGAGGGATGCTTTTGTGTTACGCACAAAAACACTAACATCACCTGCCATTTATGTCATTTGAGGGGTTGGGGTTGCTTCTAAGAGCTACGCCCGCGTACATTTTTCATTAGTTATATTGACTGGTTAATCTTATAGACTGCCCCAATTCCATGCTAATTATTCTACCATATCCCTTGCCACTAAAAATCAATTTGAACTTTTGAAAAAATCTTACTGTTTCTGGAAGATGTACAGTCTCCAGTGGAAGGGAACTGCAAGCTTGAAGAGCAGCTACTGAATTGAAAACTCACAATTAAACTTCTCTACAGCAGCCCTTCATCCCATACATTTTATTTCATTTAAACTAAACACAAACAGTTCATCTGCTCAAGTACCGAAAGTAATTTATATTGTCCTTCTTCTGAATGTTAGCTGCTGATATGTTAGTTGAAAATGTGATAGCCAAAACAGGATGCACTCATTCAGCCAAGATTTAAGCAATACTATTGTTTTGCAGTAGCTTCCTTTAAAAAATTAAAATCCCATGGTGACTCAACTAGGTTGGTCAAAGCTGGGTTTGCCCCAACCACCCACTATTCTAAATTCAAATTATAGTATTTTTTTTAATGAACCAGGTTTTGATCACTGTGCTTCAATCCAGATGCAGTGAATACTTCCTCCTTCAAGTGGGCCCAAACCTGCCACCTCAAGTCTGAGATATATCACTAGACACTCCTTGTACATCTCCAAACTTTTCTTCACAGATCCAATGACTTAGAACTTGTGCTTTGCAAATGTCCTGTTCTTTTTAGGAAAGCTGAAGACCCCAGGATCAGAAAATGTCTGGACTAACGTGATGAAATGAAGAACACTCAAGAAGTGCTATATGATGTTGGTATAGACTGGGCACCTGAGCAAGCACAAACACAAGCTTACTTTTCTCTGGCAATGTCCAGATCCACCCGGTGACTCTGCAAAGCTGCCCCCATGTTCCCCATTTCAATCTGAGCATTTCCAATGCAACTGTAGATATTTCCAACCAGCTCATTCCTGTTGGGGATCTCATCATCAGACCAGCCTTGGATCTTTTTGAGAACTCGCTCAGCTTTCTGGCAACTTCTTTCAGGACAGCCACTGGTCAACACTGTGGAAAAGGGACAAGAAGAAGAAAATATGAGCCCATATGTACAATCCCAATCAATCTGGATCTTGTCCTTTACACTTGATCTTAGCCAAAAAGCCAATAAGTAACACCTTGTCCTTTATTATTCATTTTCAATATTCAAATTGTTTGTGGCAGTCAAACAACAGATTTGGGCTAATATTATTGCTAAAATTACTCCATGCCCTGCAGTCTATCTGGTCACTATTTTTATCTCACTCCTCAGCCAAAAGAGTGTCCAGGAATGGCTTTCGGTCTGACCCAACAAGGTAGTTCTCATGTTTGTCTTTCACTTGGACAGCAGTTAAATTACTGGTCCATCAAGCACAGGATTGGCCATTCTTATTGAGCAAATCTCAAGCAGAAGTCTTTCCCATTCTTGCCATCTAAGTTCCATTTAGCAGGAAATTATCATCATCGTCGTCATCATGACTGGCTTTCATCATAAAATATAACAAAACACTCCACAATAAAAAGGATACAATAAATAAAACCTCAGTAAAGCATACAGCAACTATCCAAAATGCAACAATCCAATAGGCTATTAGACATTATGGAAATAAAACCAATAAATAAAAATAGTGTCCAGGAATGCACAGATTCATTTTTTTACTAATCAGCAGAACACCTATACTATAGATATTCATCAAATTTGGACAAATTTAGAGAGCCAGTGTGCTGCAATGGCTAAGACCATGGGACTAGGACTCATGCAATCTGGGTTCTAGTCCCCACTCAGTCATGAAGCCAACTGGGTAACTTGGGCCAATCAGACTCTCAGCCCAAACTAACTCGCAGAGTTGCTGTGGGAACAGAATTGGAAACAGAAGGAAAATCATGTAAACCACTTTGAATTTGTTCTAAGAAAAAAGCAGGATATCAATCTAATAAACAAATAAATCAATAAAATAAATAAATTCATAAAGAAGGCTATAAATGAGTACTAGCCAAGCTGGCTATGTGCTATCTCCACTATCTCCAGGCTGGTTATGTGCTATCTCCAGGTGGCATACCTGTGTGCACCAATTACTGAGGAGCTTCAGCAGGTGGAACTCTTGTTAGCACTCTGCTTGAGGAATATTATGAGCAGCTGGTTTGCTACTGCGCGCATGGAGTGCTGGACTGGATGGACCATTGGCCTGATCCAACATGGCTTTTCTTATGTTTTTATTTCAATAGCTGCAGCTTCCAAAATGACCCCAAGCACAGTCCCATATAAGAGTTCAATCCAGAGATTATTAGTATGTGAATCACTGTGCCCAAGCTGTCTCCTTCCAGAAGCAGGCACAATTGGTACACCAGCCAAAGCTGGTAAAAAACACTCCTGACCATTAAAGCCTATTTGAACCTCTAGTGAAAAAGATGGATCAAGAAGTATCGCTCAAACTAGAAACCTGTTTTTAAGAACAGTGTAACCCCATCAAAAAGAGGCAAACTATCCACCTCCTAGGCCCTACAACTACTCAAACAGAGGATTTTATTTTCCCAGGACTCAGCCTCAGTACATTGGCCCTTATCTTGCCCACTACTATTGGACGAGGTTCAGAATCTGCACTGTCTCACCTGATTCAGATATTACAATGCAACAGAGCAGGGTATCATTGGCATATTGATGGTACCCTTCTTCAGATCCCCTAGTGATCATTCCCAATGGGCTCATATAGAAGTTAAACAGCACTGGGGATAAGGCGGTACTTCATGAAACCCCAAGGCATAACTGCCAGAGGGGTGAATCAGAATCATCCAGTGTTTTTCTCTGAAACCAGGCCCCTAGATAGGATTGGAACCACTGCTATACAATGCCTGCAATCCACCAGGATAATTCAAGACGGCACAGTCAATGGTATTACAGAAAAATCTAGGAGTAAGAGGTTTGCATTTCCCCTATTTCTTTTTCTCGATAAAGCCTCATTCAACAGGGTGACCAAGGCTAATTCAGTCCCATAAACAAACCTGAACTCAGACTGGTATGAGTCCAGATAATCTGTTTTTTCTAGGAGTGCTACTTAACCACAACCCCTGATTATGCACATTGCCCAAAAGTTAATTTTCATAATTTATGTTTGTTCAAAATCTCTAGGTCCAGGGTTGGGCTTCTTCAGGAGATACAGGAGCACTTCCTTCAGGACAGTGAACTGTGCTCTCTCTCAAAATGGTACATTCACCAAATCCCTCCTTCCCCCTGCCCCCCCCCCCCATGGCTTGCTAGAATGAAACATGACAGGTGAGAGTCAAGAGGATAGTCAAGCACCATGCCCATAACCTCAGGTCACAATAACTGAAATTGATCCCAAGTGACCGGATCAGTGGATGCAAGAGACACATTGTTCAGGCCTGGCATAACAACAGTATTCAAACTGACAAAGAGGCAAGCAACTCAAAGTGTCTGACAAACTGATCACAGCAGGCTTTTAAGCATTCTAATATCCCATTCTCTGGATATTCTCGGCTGGGTGGCTATTTGAGGATGTAACAAAATTAGCAGCTTTCTTCATTGCTTTGCTGCCCTTACTGCCATGGAATAGACATAATTATGTACTCAAAATATGTTCTGTTGCCTTGCATTGGGTTTTCTACCATGTGTGCTCTGTCATTCAGCTTACTTAACCATTAACTCAAGAATGTTTCTCTTGACAATCTGACTCATCTCACCATTCCACAGTGAAAAAAGAGCATCTATGGGGTTACTGGTCAAGTCCCCAGGGCATTCAGGAACCCTCAGATTTCATCCCAATAGGCCCCTCAACCCTTGTAGGGTTGAACTGGTGCCACAACAAAATCTTATCAGGAAATGATCTGACCATGACATGACAAGGTAATAACATAAGAAAAGCCATGATGGACCAGATCAAAAGTCCCGTTCACCAGTTGCCCGGAGGATCCCACAAGCAGGGCATGAATGCAACAGCATCTTGCTACCCTGTTTTCCAGCAGCTGGTGTTTATACACATATGAGCTCTGATATCAGAGCATACAGCCATCTGGGCTAGTAACCATCGACAGCCTTCTTCTCCATGAATTTGTCCAATCTCCTTTTAAAGCCACCCAAACTAGTGGCCATTACTACATCTTGTGGAAGTAAATATCATAATTTAACTATGTGCTATGTAAATAAGTATTTTCTTTTATCCACTCAGAATCCTCTTCATGTCCACCCCATCCCTCATCCTGAAGGAAAAAACAGAACAATGGTATATCCCATTCTGCACACTGGAGTGATGACAAACCATCATTGTCCTGAAAACCATCAAGCCTTGAGTTGGCCCAATAGGAGCAGCCTCAGCATGGATGTTGAAATCTGCCAGAAGCATAGTCCTGGGGTTCTTCAACACCATACCCAAACTCATCTCTGTAAGTTCATTCAGAGATGCTGCTAGGCAACAAGATGGGCATCCACAATTTGTCCCAGTGGCCCAACACCAGATGCAGGCCCTCAAAGCCTGCTCTAGGGTGGAGAGGTTCCCTGAAAAGAAAGCTGGAGGCTTGAGAGATTATAGCAACAGCTCTGTCTTGGGCCCTCTTGTCTTTGGTGGTATTGCACCAAGTACTTGGGCTGGGCAAAACTGAGTAAGATCCACTCCACCCTGTTTGCTTACTCAAGTCTCAGTAATACATGATAAGTCAGCTCCCTCATCCATGAACAAATCACTTATGAATGTAGTCTTGTTATGAACTGTTATTATATAGCAACAGCATCAGGCCAGAGATCTCAGCAAGCAAACTGTTGCTCTACTGAGAGAGATGAAGGAAGGCTCGCAAAGGGACATGGCCTACAAGTAGCCAGGCTTCTAAGGATTTAACTTTGCACATGTGAAGTATGTATTTCATCATGAAAAGAGAACATTGCTTTTTGCTTAACCTCAGCAGACATATGATTTGCATGTTTTGTCTCTTTTATCTCCAAGTTACTCAGAGCAACATTTCAACCTCACAACAATCCTGTTAAGTAAACTAGGCTAAAATATAATGCTTCAACTTCCCTCATTTGAGTTTTTGATTTTCAGAAGGATCTTTTCCTATTCCATAAAGCACCTTAAGACTTTTTATCAGAGCCTTTCTGGGAAAATACATTATTGCCTTTATCCTCATCTTTATTACAATCTTTTTCCAAAAAAATATGGGGTAGCATACATGATGCCTTGCCTCATTTTAGGCTTACAACAAACCTGTGGCATAATTTAGGCTGTGATTACTAGGTCTCAAAACTAACCAGTAAGCTTCATGGTTGAGTGGAGATTTGCATCCTGGTCTCCCAGTCTAAGTCATATTGTCTAGTCACAACATATGCTTGCCATCCAGTGAACTTATCTGTGTGCTTTTTGGGAAGTGAACCTTGTTTCAGAACAATTATTTCAAATAAGATGAGTTTCTCTACCACCATTGAACTCTTGAAACAAACAGGCTAGCAGCTACAGGCTTACTTCTCCCCAAAGCAATGTTTGTCTTAGCACCTCTTCATAAAAAAAAACAAGTTTTGTCTTCAATATATAAGGAGGTTCATGTCACAATTGCCTCCACCTTTCACCCTTAAAGTGGGTACATTCATTAAAAGTAAAGCAGTGTTTGAGATATATGAATAGTGCTGAGGCTGAAATCACATATTTAGACTTTGGAGCCTTTTCCATGTGTTCTGAAGTATGATTTTCATGTGCCAACCTACAAGTACAGAGGGAAACTGAATTAAGTACCAAAGCCAGCTCGCCTGTCATGCCACATAGTAAAATGCTGTATGCTCCTGCGTACAAAAGGAAGCATAGAACTAACATGATGTTGAGAATGTATCTATATTTCAGTAGCTCCCGGTAGAGTAATAGAGGCACATCCAGAGAACCTCTAGGAGTATGTCCCTTTTAGAAAGAAACATCATGGCATATGCCGTAACAATGTCCAGGGATCTTGCCTAGATTACATGTCAACTGAAACCCTTAGGCTTATATATCACAAAGGGCTCATTCATTGTCTCATTCAGAACATCTCCTATTCTGCCTATCTATGTTACTTGAGGCAGCAAATAAATAAACCCCTCCTAAAGCTCAGGCTGTTTCTTCCCATCAGCAAACTTTCCACCAGTGTCACCTACACATATCAATGTCCTCCATGCTCTTTAGGATGTATCTGGCCACCTCCGAGGGCTTTCGTTTTTGATCTCGGGTCCATCTTTTCAGCATGAGTTTGCGGTCTCTGATTCGGGCATAAATTGGCTTCTGCTGCTGCCAGAAATCTGTGCGGGTGTCCAGATAGGAAAGTCCTTCCTGGATCAGGTCTCCAACAGTTACTCCTTGCTTTGTAGTGCTTTTAGTCAAGTCTGAAGGGAGGCCAAAAGCAGAAATTGACAGGGGGGGGGGGAAGGAATTGTGAGACAATACTGTTTATAATAATTTATGGTATAAATCTATTTAATGCCTTCTGTCTTTATTGGAATACATTGATATTGCCTTTCTTTTCCACTTTATGTGAGCTTCACATTTTAAGAGTTCCAATAAAATAGTATTAAACTTGGATATAAAACAAACAAACACAAAACATATGGACAGCAGAAACAATAAGTAATGAGTAAAACTAGTGGCAGTGGGAAAGCCAAGAATGAAATTTTGCTAATTGCCATGCCAAAAAACCTTGGCAAATAAAAAGGTATTTGTTGTAAGCCAATAAGGCATCAAGCTTGCCTCCAGAGGCAAGTGTCCTGAAAGATGCTCCAGAGATGGGACACCACAACGAAAATTATCTATTTCTGGTCACTAACTGCTAACTTTTGAAGATAGGGTTACACGGAGAAGGCACTCCCAGGCTACTAGACCACTAACTGGGACTGACTTACTAATGATTAGCTATCTGATTGCCATTCCATTTCCAGGTATAACTCTAAATGCTGGTGCTTCCTTGTCTGCTTGGGACGTGGAAATCTCAATAGCATCTCCTCCTGCATAAAGCAGCCAGTGCACTGAGAATTTAAACTAAAGATTATAATCAGGAGGCCTTTTCTAGATGCTACCATCAGATGTTGGGTACTAATAATCAGAGAAAAGGGCCTTTTTGGTTGTACTGTGCTACCCTATTTAATGCTTCCTCCAAGGAGATTTGCCAGATGCCGATTCTTCTACTTTGGTGACTGGCAAATACATATTTTATTTTCCCCAGGCCATTACTTTATGTTTCCTGGAATAGTTTTCATCTGTAGCACTGCTTCTAAATTTGCGGTATTTATCAACTATCAATTCAACGCATTTATTTGTACTGTTAGCTGCACTGATTGCATTCATATTAAAGGTAAGATATAATTTTAAATAATTTTTAAAAATAAATTTAACTCTAGCTTGGCATGCCTAATTAATACTGCATCTGTCCCAGAGTATATGAAATACAAAACAATTAAAGAGATAAAGTTTGATAGGCTTCTTCCAAGCACACAATGCTCCTTCTCTGGGAAAATTTAACCAGCCAGATGCTGCTCATGACCCACACAAACTGCAAAAATCAGATTACCACAAACATTTAATCAGACAGAAGACAATAATAGGACTCGACAAGTATAAGGCCTCAGCCCTTGTGAAAACTTAATATACTAAGTTTCCAGTCATATGACCCTAAGAATCTGCCTTATGTCACATATTGTACTTTTATATTTTGTAAGCTGTCCTGAGTGCTTGGCAATAGGACAGGATATAAATGCCTGTAATAAATAAATAAACAGCTAGCTAGCTAGCAAGCACCATTTGTCTATTTAACTCAGTAACATTTACTTCAACAGGGAGTAGTTCTCCAATGTCTCAGACAGAGGCACTGTTTTTCCTGGCATTTCTAGAACCTATTTTACCTGCAAGTGTGAGAAACTGAACTTCTGTATGCAAAGCATGTACTCAAATACTGAACTATGGAGTCACAACTACTACCACAAGCTCCCTTAACTTCTCAGTGGAGATCTGGCCGCAAACACCAATTTTATCATAATTTACCACCATTTGAGCTTTCAAAGTCTGTCTACAACTAGAATAGAATCGATTGTGAAGCAGTTAAGGCTCAGATACAAACTTTGGGGGAGCAAAGATAGCAGCTATGGAGACATATTCATATATTACATTCAGATAGAATGTAAAGCTACAATTGGTATTATTTGAGCAGTGAGGAACTTCAGGTTCATCGCTCCTCCCTGTCTGTGGCAAAATTCCCTCACTCCTATCCTGAGTTAAGATAAATTATACATTTGTCATTTGCCTGAGCAAGCAAAACCAGGATTAAACTCTCAATTTCTGGGAAAGAACAAGCAACATTTCCATCTCAGGCAAAATGGCAAGCCATGCTTCACCACAAACCAGGATCAATCTAATAGAATCAAGGTGCGTGGGTGCAGAAGAGTGTGCGCACATTCAAGGCTGCTCACTGGCATTACAAAAGAGCTGCCTCATATATGCTTCCCAGCACCAAAATAATTTAATGTGGGAAACCCCACTGAAGCCAAATGCTGTTTACAGCCTTTGATGTGGTGGTTTTCTAATTCTTTAACCTCAAAGTTCATTTCTGTGTTTGTTATGCAGAATATGGCAATGCAGAAATGTGGCAATGCAGAATATGAGTAGGAGGCGTGTTGGGTTCACATCCAGTTTCACATGGGGCTCTGGTTAAGCCTTTTGAGTTTCACCATCATCCCTCAGAGCATATGCAGTACCTATGACACACTCCTGTGGCTATGCATTGCAGAGCAAAATTGATAAGATGAGCAACCTGTCTTTCAAGCTTGGCTGCTATGATAGATCTTATTAAGGAACCCCAGGAACACAATTTTAATATCACCATCTTAGGAAATCCCTTTGTTTTTACAAATCCACGGACAGCTTCACAGGAAGCCTGTAACTGATGAACAATCCGATGAGAGCTGAAATTTTGAGACTCGCAAAATCAGCATGAGCCAACCTTCATCCTTGAGCAATTTCTCCAAAAATGCCTTGTCAACATAGAGTTCCCCTAACAGCTGTCGTTCTGTCTTCTCATTCCTCATGGGTTCTTGTTGTTTACTTAAGTACTTTGCATCCTTTTTGGGATACTTGATCTGAAGTTTCTGTTTTGCTCTTTTACTCTATCACCAAAGAAAAACAGAAAACATTTTTCAAGATTGAAGACTTTTGATTTCTGCTTTCCTCTTTGAGGGACAAAAATTAGCCTGGCATGTAGAAATGTTGCAAATTAGACTAAAGGCAGGTTTCTGGGAATATGTGACCAAAGAATAAAAACAACAGCATCAGTTTAACAGAGCACATGGAATCTTGAAAATGTCACATTGACAGAAGGGCAAAAATTATATCCAATCTTCACTGTGGAGAAAAAAAATCCTGAAAAGCTTCAAGGTGATACAAACGCTGAATGTTATACCAATGCCTTCTCTAGACTACTGTGATTAAGAATATGAACTTTGAGCAGGGAAGTCCCCCAGTTCCTGTTTCACCCCATTCATGTACTCACCGTTTGACTTAAGCAAACTGATTTCAGCATACCACATGTAGCTGGGTGATAATACCATCCTACAAAGATCGCAGAACTGTTGCGTAAACCACTGAGATAATGCATATGAGGTGCTTTAGCACAAATAAATACCAACCAGTTTTAGATTCCATTAAATGATGTAAAAGTCTACACATGTGCTTAGGACATAGGAAACAAGCAAGCCAAAGTTAGGGATAGCTAAATGCCTCTGATGATAGACTTATTCTTTCTAAAAACCGAAATTTGCATTCCAAAATTAACAAACTCAAATATAAGCATCATCCCCTCATTTTAATAATGCTTTTCATTTCCTACCCACATACAGTCTACAGATGGAATTGGATACAAGCAGTTAATTTTCAGATACAAACTTTGGGAAAGCAAAGCTATTGACCATGGGGAAAGAGATGTTTCTGTTTATCCCACTCATTGTGGTGCAAGAAAAAGATCAAAGAACTGCACTCCCTGCAATCCTCACTTTCCATCTTTTCTGCACACTTTGGACACATAGGATCCCTCACCATGGTTTCAATTCACAGAATCATAGAAAGGTAAAGTTGGAAAGGGCCTAGAAGGCCATTGGGTCCAACTGCCTGCTCAAGTGCAGAATACCAAGTTAAATCATCCCTGTCAGATGGCTGTCCAGTTGCATCTGAATACCTCTAATGTGAAAGAGCCCATAAACTCCTGATATCTAGCTGGAATCTGGCTTCCTGTAACTTGAGCCTGTTATTCCGTGTCCTGTACTCTGGGATGATCAAAAAGAGATTTGTCCTTCCTCTTTGTGATGGTTTTTCAAACCTTTATAGAGTGCTGACACTGAACAAGTCCAGTTCTCTCAACCTTTCCCCATAGGGCTTTGTTTCCAGACCTGGAATCATCCTTTATACTGACTTTAGAAAGATCAGGTGAGACCATACCTCTGCCTGGCGACTCAGAAAGTAGAGGTCCCCTTTATTCTCAAGTTTCACAGAAGATGGGCCTACAAAGAGAGAAGGTATCAGCCAAGAGGTCAGAACAGTAATACAAATCACTTCTGCAATCAGCAACAGGTAATTCTTCTGAAGAAAGCATTCCAGCCTTGTAAAGGAAGACACTCCAATCTGTTGATTATGTTATTTTCCCCCTTTCTGCATATTTTCCAGATTTGTTATTTTTCTTGAAATAGCACAGACCCAAACTCCACAAAGTATTCCAAATGAGAATGAACTACAGCTTTCTATAAGAAGGTATGATACTTGCTTTATTTTCAAGTCAGTAGTTGAACTCTTTTTTTTTTTTTTTTTTTTTTTTTAAGGAATAAAAAATTTAAAAAAAAAAAAAAAATTTTAGCCTTTTTTTTTATTTTTAATAAAATATTTAATTTTTTTTTTTTTTTTTTTTTTTACTGTTACAGGATATAACATATTAAAACAGAAGATAGAGCTTGAGCCTCTTTCAGAAAAGAGTCTAACATGTCCAGAGTCATTACTGGAAGGATCCTCTTCCTCAAATACATTGCAAAATAAAATGATCTATAGAAGGTAAAGCCGTTGTGCTGAATTGCACATATTGTTAACTCAGAGTTTATTTTACTATCTGTTTAACTGACAAAACTCAATCCAAATAAAGTTAAAAAGATATAAAAGTTTGCTTTTTTTTTTTTTTGCGAAAGCAAACAGGAGACCTTCATAACTTCTATAAAGTCCTTACCCTACCCTACACATCTTTTCCTAGTTAAGAATGCATTTGTTGCTGATATTGTCTCTTATTCATTCCTTTTCAGTGAGCTTCAAGTCCAGATAAAATAAGACTTCCTAATAAAAACTACATGTCTTACTTCCAACAGAATTTTCAATTGCCTCCTGAGATTTCTGAATGCCCAATCTGAATTTCTGCAACTCTGGGCGGAGTTTGTGGCCTCGATGGTAAAAGACCAAGGCAAATTCAAAGTCCCCCATGGTGTACAAGGCTTCTGCTTTCTGGTATAGTCCCTGTAACAAAGAGGACAAATATGGGACTGAGAAAAACAAAGTTAAGATCTATACATTGTCATTGTGTGTGTGGGGGTGGGGGAGAGGGAGAGTGAACAGCATGTGCCAGCCCCAAAAATTTCACCAGGAACTTGCTTGTTCCAGCCTCTGAAACTTTGGAAAAGTTTGGAAAAGATGCAGACTACTTAAAGAAGAGTCTAAGTGCTAGGGAAGATAGTGCATGCTTCAGTGACTCTATCCCTTATCCATTTAGAGTTCCTCAGTTTCCTTCAACCCAGCTGTACACTTGATTCCTTAATATTGTTTGCTTGCAATAAAGTTTTCTAACCTGGTCAGTACCTGCCTTTCTCACCTTCTGGGTTAAGAAAAGAGGAAAGGAAAAATCACTCCACCATCAACACAGAAACCCTGCTATAATTTAAAAAGCTAGCCCTTAGGTAGGGAGCTGACCACTTCGGGATTGCTCACCTTGGTAAACGCTTTATCAGGTATTAAGGAGGCTTCTGCATCCTTCAAGGCATTTTCTGTATCTCCAAGTCTTAGGTAGCATTTTGAACGAGCAACAAGGCAGTTCCTGTCACCTGGTTGGAGCTGCAATGCCTAACATACAAAAATATGTTGTCCAATTCAATGTGATTGTTACAGTTGCTAACTAACAGTCAAACATAGTGCAACATTTCTCACAAGAAAATAACCCCTATTTTTATGATATCCCTATTCTCATACCAAATAGCACTTTCCAAGCTACATGCCCTGCACTGTTACATATTACTTAATTCTGGATCCTATATTAAAATTCTGTGCAGTAGGTTACCCTCCCCTGGTTTAAATGCCAAGAAGGTGCATTGGTAAAAACAAACTTGAAAAGCACGCTTGTCTTACACCCTTATTATCAACAGTTCAAAAATACCTCAGTGGATGCAATGTTTTAGGATGCTGTGTTTTAATTTAATTTTTTTCTTACATTTTGTATTGTTAAACCGTCTCAAGACTTCAGTAATGGGACGGTCTACAAGAGTTTTAAAATAAATAAATTTGTGAAATGGCAAGTAATGCATTGTCTAGTGTATCCATCACCTGCCATTCTGTGCACACACATATACCTGCAGGTTCATTGGACAAGATCATAGAATCATAAAATAGTTGATTTGGAAGAGGCTCATGCTGGGCTCCAAGTTAAAGCATTTCCAACCGATGGCTGTCCAGCCGCATCTTGAATGCCATCCTCTCCCTAGGTAATTAAATCTATTGTTATATTGGTCTAAACAGTTGGAAGTTTTTCCGAATGTTCAGGTGGAATCTGACTTCCTGTCACTTGAATTCATTATTCCATGTTCTGCACTCCAGTTTGTCAGCATCTTTCTTGAACTGTGGTGCCAAGTACTGGACACAGTATTCAAGATGAAGTTTAACCAGTGCTAAGTATAGGGGGACTACTACATCACATACTAATTTGTGAAGAACCAATACTTCTTTTAATGTAAAAGAATGTAATACTTCTTTCAATGTGAAAGAAGTATTGGCTGAATTTTGTTGTTTTTTTATCCAACCCATTTTTGTGTCATTGCAAATCTGATAAGCATTCCCAGCAGTTCCTCATCCAAGTCATTAATAAAAGTATTGAAAAGCACTGGGCTCAGGACTGAATCCTGTGGTACCCCACTCATTGCCTCTCCACAGCTTGAGAAAGTATCATTGATACGCACTTTTTGAGTCCAGTTCTGGATCCAACCCTAGCAGTTGTTCCATCTAACACACTTTTAATTAGTTTGCTAATCAGGATAGCAGGGGGCACTCTTTCAAAGGATTTGCTCAAGTCAAGAAATATAATGTTCACAGCATATGCACAGACTACCAAGGAGGTTACCCAATCAAAAACTGAGATCAGATTTGTTCTTGACAAATTCATGACAGCTTCTAAAAATCCCTTGTTTTCAAGGTGTAGTATTAGATTATGTATGAATGGCTTAATCCATGGAAAAAATTAATTTCAAGTGACCCTGGAGAGAGAGAATATTGAGACAAGGAGTCCTTTCTCCCCTCACTCTCTTTCATTCAGTTTTCAGTTCCAGGGAACTTGTATATGATTGAGCCAGAAAGCCCCAGACTGGCCTGCTGAAACCCTACCTGGGAGAGTAAAGGAAACTAGGAAACGTGTCTGTGGCTGCCGCCTGCATACTTTTTGAGCATTTTACTTTTTCAAATTAGCTGTAGGGAGAGTAGCTAGGACACAACAGCATGAATGAGTCCAGGTCCAATTAGCAGCTGGTCTTGGGCGTACATTTTTATTCCTTGACCACCATGGCCATTCCTCTGAAGCTTCATCCTAACCCATGGAACTAGTGGCCTCTATCATTAACCTTATTTACTCCCTCGTTTCTTCCTCACTATTACCTGTCACTCAGGACCTCACCTCAAACCCACTGCCTCACTCCCGCAGGCCTTGAGACCCCGAGCGTTCAACACGTCCCTGCTTGATCCCATCATTTACGCCCCCACAGAGAGTTCTCTGCCGGACCTCACCCTCACCTCCGCGTCTCTCCTCTCAGTCCTACTCATGAGCCAGCTTCGTACTCTTTAATTCCCCAACTCTCATCCCCGCCCCGCCCCACAATGCACGGCGCATCCTCACGTAAGTATAGCAAGACAGCGCTTTGACGAGCTCTCCGCGCCGACTGAGCATCGTCCCTTCCGCCATGAGGCTGGGGAAGGTGCCCCTCAAAACTTCGCCTTCCGAGTCCCCCATCTTTGGAGCTTCCCGCAACAAGGCAGACGCGCCGCCGCTGCCTAGCAACCGCAGCACTTCCGGGAACCCGACTGGAACCTAGAAACGTAGGGAGGCGGCGCTGCAACATGGCCCGCTCATTGTTCATTAGGCTCCGCCTCCTTCCATTCATCCGCTCGCGCCCAAAGTTAAGCCCTTTACTACCTGTTCTAAGAATGAGCCTTTGGCTGTCCTCATGTATGCCCATCTTTTCACTACACACCGCAGAATTGGGTTGAAGGCTTCTGATCTGATTTACTAGTACGTTCGTGATCTTTAGTAGACTAAGAATCGCACCCCAAATCTGCTGTGAAGACTGTATTTACAATTGTTAAATGTTCTAAGCTTAGAGAGTCCATAGAGGGCCTATAAATTTGAAAACAAACAAACAAACAAACAAATATTACCCCCGAAAATAAGTATGTTGCGTATGAGAGGCCGAGGCTGAGAGACAGAAACTCTCAGAGCCGAGATTCTAAAGAGGGACTTCCTGATTTGGCGCTTAGTTTCTTATACGATAATCACCTGAATATTTACTCGAGAGTAAATCCTATAGACCGCAATGGGGCTTATTTCTGAATAGGTATATGGTTTTAATACATGCTACAATTCTACATATCCGAGTCTACTGAAGTCACCATAAAATGGGAAAACATCAGTGTAGAAGCTACAGTCAACCCCCTTTTGATTTTATTATATTTATATCCCATTTATATCCCACGGTTTTTCTTTCAAGGAACTCAAGGTGACTTACGTATTTTCTTCTCAATCTTATCCTTACAACAACAACCCTATGAGGTTGGGCTGAGAATCTGATGGGCCCAACATCACCCAGTGAGATCCATGGCTGAGCGGGGACTAGAACTAACATCTCCGGAGTCCCAGTTCCACATTCATAACCACTACACCACAAAACAGCATGTTTTAGAGATACTTGAGAATCATATTTTAGGACTAAAACCCTTGCAATATCAGATCATTATTGTTGCTGTTGCTAGTCGCAAAGTCATGTCCAACCCATCGTGACCCCATGGACAACATTATTAGTAACTCTGTAATGCCCAGAATCCCTCCAGAAGAGAATGAAATGGTTCATAATGTCACCTTCCAAGGGAACCAAACCATCCAATTCACCATTCATAACTGGATTATGGTAATAGGCTAAGTCACAAAACCTTCACAGAAACCTGTTTAGGAAAATTTTTAAAAAATCTAAGTGAAAGAGTCTAGAACATCAACTTCCAAGCAAGCCAAACAAACTAAATTCACCACTCACACATAATTGGAGGGGAGTTGATTTGACGTTGGTATACAGCACTGAACAGAACTGCACAGACATTGCTTCTCAGACAGCTTTAGTTAATTAAAGGCTTTCCGCCGAACCCTCTCAAGCCCCAGAGGATGCTATATTGTTGCATAAGTTTAGAAGCATCCACAAATTACTATGAACAAAGAACACACAATAAATGCATCAGGTAGAAAGGCTGTAAGACTTAAATCCTTCAAAAATGGAGAACTAAGGGCAACATTTCCATTAACCTGTAAGTCTCTAGAACCTGTAAGTCACTCAAGTCTGTATTCTTTAATAAGAAGCAAAAGTTACGATCCAACACTGCTATGGGTGTTGTCTGTAGTTAATTGTTCCAACTATTTTTTCCAATAATAATCTAGCCAAAGGTACTACTACAAAACATTGTAGCCCTAAAATCCCTGAGGGTGCGCTGTTATACTCAGAACCATTTCTTTGAAGTCTATTACCACTGCGTTCATCATAAATAGCTTTAGTCAAACCAAATTTACTAGACTATGGAATTAACATTACTTTCTTGCCCTGACCATACAGTTACTGGATTTTTCCATATGTAATAAACAGAATTCCACCTCCCTAGTGATATTGTAAAGTATAAGAAGGGTTTCTGTCACGTCCCAGGACTAATTTTCTGGAGGACTTTAACCTCCCAAGTAAAGGTTCCTACATTGCACCCTCTTTACTGATAATGGACAATTACATATCTGCTCCCAAGCATTTAAAAGTTGTCACTCTTTTTAAGTTCAAGTCCAAGCACAATAACAAAGACTATGCTAATAAACAGAGAATTTTTAATGACTTCCTTAGATGTATTTTATTCAATTTATTGCATGTCTATATGGCCTATTAGCCAAATTACTTTGGGCAGTTTGCGAAACATTCACAAATGATAGACGTCTTAGAAAATACATTGGCAATATGGCTAGAATATGGTAAAACCTTTAACATTGACTTGATCTGAAAGTCGGAACTGCATTTGTGCAGCTCAGCTGCTTCTGTCTTAGAAATTTCAAAGCTCCTGGAATAACTGGTTGGGAGACAGCAGCATCTTGTCTGACTAGCCTCTGCTGAGAAACCACTAAACTGGTTCTTTAGCTTAATCAACCAGTAGACTCAGAATGAACCATGAAGCATAAAATGTGAAGACTTCTATCCAATTGTGCTCACAGGTGTGAAGGCTGCCATAGAGTTTTAGGTTGTTGCACACATGCTTTCTTTTCAACATGGGGGTATTTGAATACGGATGTCACACCAGAAGATTGTCAGCATCTGCTGACTGGTTCACCAGCATGCACACAATTCGATTTCTTTATACTCGATTGGTACACATTACATACATGCAATGAATGTAGAAACTGCATTGGTCAGAAAGTTCTGGGTCTGAAGTGATGAAAAAATTCTGTGATGCCATGTTCCTGGTGCTTGATTCACACAGGCAAATCATCCCTTGATGCTGCTTCCTCAACTGGTGGGCATGTATGAAGCAGCCATAATTTTCGCTAAGTTCATGCTTATGGAAGCTATGACTGTGGTTTCAGAATGTTTATTTTTCTCCACACGTTTCCTACATCCTGAAAAGCCATGACATACCTTTTCTTTATTCAAACTGAGGGAAGACCTCATTCTTAATCCTGAAATGGTTTGCTTTTAGTACGTGAAACAGCAAAAATGGTCTGCAGAGTGAGACAGCAGGAAGCTACCAGTAGGCAAGTAATTCTGTTCAGTTCAAGTACTGGAGGTGATTAAATGTTCCAATCATGCCAGATGCAAAAAAGAGAAGTGCATATCTCAACAGGAGGCTGATTGGAAGTTAACACGACCAGAGCAATTAGTAACACCAGCACAGAGAATCCTGGTATTTATACTGGGACACCCAAGTGTTTCTCCATTACACATATGAGAATTATTATTCTGCACTATTCCTGAATTTATGCTGACCATTGATGAAAGCATTGGAATGATTAATGTCTTCCTGTGCTTTTCTCTCAGACGACAGATTCAGTAATGGAGGGTGTGGTGGTCTTACAGCTTATTTAGAAAACATTATTTGGAAAATGTTGCCATTTTTGTGGAAAAAGGCAACTCCCTCCACCCGGCAGCATGACACATATTTTTCATCTCATTTTTTTTCTGATAACAAGCTTCACATGGTTTAAAGTTCAGTGGTGTTATTACTGAGGACTGATGGGGCATGCTGTTGACTCTAATAAAAGTGGCACAGTAGCAGAGGCAGGCTTATCTTTATAGATTTCTCCCACTAAGAATGTACTTGAATGCTTATTAAGGCTGACTACACCTAAAGCTGTTGGCACTCTGAATTTAATAAATAATTATTTATTATATTATATTATATAAATTTAATAAAATTAATAAATCTCCTCCTCCACTGAAATCTGAATTTTGTGTCAAGACAAATGGCCTGCAATTATTTAAAAATCTTCCTTGCTTTCTCATCTGGCTTCTAATGCTAGTTACTGTCCATACTTTTACCAGATGTCCATCAGTTTTTAAAAGGGATTACACAAAATCATGGTGGATAAGGTAATCAAAGGCTACTAGTCAAGATGGTTCTATATTGCCTCTGATATCAGAGGGCCTATGCCTGTATATATCAGCTGCTGGGGAACACAAGCTGCAAGGTGCTACTGCTGTGGGCTTGTGGATGACCATTATGTAAATAGAACGCTGGATTAAATAGGCCATTGGTCTGATCCAGGATGGCTCATTCTATGACTCTCTAACGCTGCAGTCATAAGGGAGTAGAAACTTGCTGTGAAAGCCAGGATTCTCAGGAGGCTGCATTTTGTGATGATTAATAAATCCTGTGCTTGTGTGGTATAGTCACAGAATACTCCCAGCCCTGGCTTAGAAGCTTGTAAAAAAATCAGAATACTTTGCTGGAGGGAGATGTTGCTGACACAGTACCTTGTTCCATTACCTGGGCTATGCCAGTGTTAAAACAGTTTTATGAAACAATGTATTTTGTACCACTTTTGGATTGTAAATCTCACATAGACTTCTTTAACAGGGGTCAGGCAAGTTTGCAAACTCTCTCCTAAGCTCCTTTTCCTGCTGCTTATTTTAGGGCATAATGCATGCCCTAAATGGTGAATGCATGCCAACAAATCTTTAACTGGGGGAAGTTCTACTTCTAAATATTATTTATTAAAGTATTCTTATTCTGTTGCTTATCTTTAAAAAAGTATTCTGGAGAGATTCACAATCAGTAAAATAACCCAAAAAGGCTCAGCACACAAGGAAAAGGGAGTAAGGAGGGAAAAGGAAAAATTATTTTTTCAGCAGGGCTGGTAGAATGGTCCTGCTTTGGCTCTCATCTTTTGGAGTGGGGGCAGTCCAGGCTCTAATGTTTCCTTGACCTGCTCCTGTTTCTGCATGAACTAGGAGACTCAGTGACAAAGTGTCTCAGCCACAGTGACGAAGCATCAGCATGGACCTGTGTGAGGAAAACATAAATGCTATATATTTGTTTGCTTATTTATCTATTAAATTACAATTTAAAACTCAGTTAAACTCAAATCAGCTGAAGCCAAAATAAAAGCACAGCAAAGAGAGCTAAACCCAAGAATGGTAATAATCATAAACTCACAGTTAGGTGCTAAATTCCTGGGGGGAAACCCTGCCAGAACTTTCAGCTTTACTCTAACAGTGATTCTTAATTGGTTGAAGAAAATCTCAACCATATCCTTAAACCAAGTCCAAGTTTAGAAACATACAATAAAAGCAATGTGTAGTTCTATATTGACAAGAGCCTTTCTGTAGGTCTAGTTCAGGGGTCAGCAACCTTAAACACTCAAAAGAGCCATTTGGACCCATTTCCCACAGAAAAGAAAACACTGGGAGCCACAAAACCTTTTTGATATCTAAAATGAAGATAACACTGCATATATTGTTTTTTACCTAAAAAAACCAGACTGGTAAACCAGTCTCGTCAGCAATGAAAGCAAATGAAACTGCCCACATACCATTAAATGTTCTGTTTTCTTCTGAAACTTTTCTTTTCTTGGATGTATCCATGGTTGGCCTACTGGGGGTCAAAAAGCTCAATAAACTGCGTGCCAGCGGGTGTTGCATACTGGTGATTGTGGCGCATATTTTGAACAACAGGGAGCCGCGGCAGAGGGATGAAAGAGCCACATACAGCTCAGGAGCCGCGGGTTGCTGACCCCTGGTCTAGTTAATGGAAATGTTTACTTTAAAATAACAATGAGAAGGGTAGCTTCAATTTGGGCTCAGGGTAGGCTCTGATTTTTATGTCTTACAGTGCAACACATGCACTGAAGCTCAGAAAGACTCATTCCAATTGTGAGAGTTCAGCTTACCATATAGTTTTGAAGCATAAACAAAAGGAACTCAACCCTTGCACACCATGTCCTTTGCAAATCAGGTATCCAGAGTCAGTTTCTTGCATCCCCTGGGAAGCCTGAACCACATCCCTTTCCATATTACCTTCTCTTTTTCTGTTGTCCCCTCTAATGACCCAGTGACTATTGTGCTCTCCCCTTAATAGAAAATCTCCACTACCAGGGATTGAAACTTATCTGTGTTCCCACTATCTGAAAACTAGCACAGATCAGCAGTTCAGACAAAGCCTTTCTTGCTTTTTCAAAAGGGCCTAGAAATCAGATTGTAGCACTGTTGAGCCAAGCTAGTGAGAACCATATGAAGAACCAAGCTTGCGAGTCAGCTCTCTGAGCGTGAGTAGCCTCAGTGATGAAGCATCTTAGCCTTACTGACAAAGCATCAACACATAAGCAAGTTGGCAACTGTGCGAGTTTAGCAACAAGGTGAGGGAGCTAAAATAAATACTATAAATAATTGTGGATAAATTATGATAAATATAAATAGTTATTCACAAATTCCTAACTTTCCCGTAATAGGCAACTTAGTTCTCTAAGTAAACAAAGCCGGTAATATTGATTTTAAAAGTTATGAAGATGAAAAGGCAGTAAGAGTGTGGGAGTTACTGAGTGTGTTGTACTACATGCCACTTGTATGATAGAATAATGGGCTCAAGCTACAAGAAGTCAGATTCCAACTAGATATCAGGAAACATTTCCTGACCGTCAGAGCAGTTTAACAATGGAACCAGTTACCTAGGGAGGTTGTGGGCTCTCCCACACTAGAGGCACTCAGTATACAGCTGGATAGCCATCTGAGAGGGATGGTTTAACCTGGAGTCCTGCACTGGGCAGGAAGTTGAACCTGATAGACTTCTTGGCCCCTTCTAACTCTTCTATGTTTCTGTGACAATCTATCAGACGGTAGTCACGGACATGTGCTTGGTATAATGAGCTCCTGGCCTAAAGAAACAAATCAATCCCTCGCAGACAAAGTTGCTGACTTTGTCAGGTAGAACAGTTGGTAGACAAAACGTTTGGAGACCTCACAGTGGTGGCACAATCCCTGGATCACAACTTTCTAATGGCACAGAGCATGAAGGTCTCAGGGAAGGAGAGAATCATTTTGAGAAAGAAGGAAATTATACCTTAATAAGGACAATTTCTCAGAACAGTATTAAATGACCTCTTGTACTGAGGATCTGCTTCTGGGGAGTGAGGGACTTGTAGTAGTAGGAATTTCATTTATTAGACACATAGATAGCTGGATTTGTTATGGGCCTGTAGACTGTATGGTGCAAAGGCTATGGATATTGTGTGCCATTTTGATAGTTTTCTAGATACTGCAGGAGGTGCTTGTACTTCCTGTTGGCATCACTGACATGAAGGAAATGTAAGTGCCAAATGTAGATTGCTAGATGGCAGGTTGAAATCCAATATTGCCAAGGTGAGTTTCCCTGAAAAGCTACTTGCTCTGTTTGCAGGGCCAGCTAGACAGCTGAGGAGTCTCAATGCATGGATGAGATGTTGGTGCAAAGAGAAGGGGTTCAGATGTGTCAGGCACTGAGGAACATTTTGGGACAAGCCAGGCCTGTACAAGAAAGTCAAGTTTCACCTGAACCAAAACAAACCCAGCCTGATGGCACTAAACATTAAAAATGGTGATAGGGACCATAGTGCTATCAGATTTAATATATATTTAAACAGAAGATTGTCAAGGAATTCCAATACATTCATATTTGACTTCAGAAGAGGAAACTTCTCTAAAATGAGAGATCTGATGGAAGGAAGCTGAAAAAGATATTCAAAAGGATTAAATCCCTGTTCAGAGAATGTTCAGAGATTATTCATAACCACAATAACAGAAGCTGAGCTAGAGGGAATTGGTACATATCATATTCTGTACTGTAATGTACGCATTAGTCATATGGACTTGTCCCCTAGGACACTATTGGAAAGTGCCTAGTCTAAGAAGTCCTCAAACTTCAGCCTCCTACATTTTATGAGTTCCCCTCTATAAACCAAATTCTCCCCTCCCCACCACTCAAATCTCCCTAAAAATAGTTCTATGGGGTACTTTTATACTTCAAACAATAGGCCCCAAACAAAGGAACTAATAAAAGTTCAATGCAGGTCATCTTTATCTCTTTTGAAAGCTGATATTCTTAGTTGAAATTCTCCAGCAAAAAGAATCAAAATCTACTGAGGAAAAGCTTTTGTATGTTCTTTAATTTAGTTGGCCAAACTATTGTTATGCAGAGAAAAAAATCAATAGGCCAAGCATTGTTGTTCAAATTTTATTTCATAGCCTCAGGAAAATTAAACCTTAAATTAACTTCATGAGCTGCTCTAAGAGCTGAAAGCCATTCTTATGAAACTTGGGGGGGGGGGAGCAGAATTCAGGCAGAACAAATGCCTTCCATACGCAGCATTTTCCTTGCTTTTGAAGCATTTTTGTCTGGGATCAAAAATGACCCCAAATGCAACTAATACTAGTTTTTGTTCATATAAAGGCTAAATTAAATAAAATATAGGAATGGTAGCAACAAGTCCAAAAGGTCACCAACAAAATTAATAAGCAAGGTCATAGAAGCTATTATAGAAAACTCCTTCAGAAAATGGACTTCCTTTGCCCAAATGAGAAAAGGAATAGGTACAGAGGTACAAGCAAGCCACAAGAGATGCAAAAAAAAAAAAAAAAAAAAAAACCATACTGAGCAGCATTTTGCTAATAATATTAAAGTCAATAATATATAATTCTTTAAATCCATCAGAAGCAGGAAAACAGCTAAGGAGGCAGTTGAACCACTGGAGTTAAAGGGGAATTAATGGAGAATAAGGAGACTGCAGAGAAGTTGAATGCTTTCATCTGCCATTGATGCAAAGGATCTAGAAAACATACCTGTGCCTGAACTGATTTTCCAGGAAAGGAATTTGAGAAATTGAGACAAACTGTAGAAAAATTAGGTAAAATTAACAAAATTAAATGCAACAGACACAAAAGCAAATTTCTGAAATTCAACACTATTTTATTTATTTATTTAAAACTTTTCTAGACTGTCCCATTACCAAAGTCTTGGGACGGTTTGACAATACAAAATGTAAAAATTTTAAAACACACTACTAATATTACTAAACCCACTGTAAAGATTTAGGATGGGAGATATGTGGCATGGCAGTGGCTCATGCGAAAAGGATCTTGGGGTTACTGGTTGATCACAAGTAGGACATTAGTGAGCAGTACACTGTGGTTTCAGAAAAGATTGAATACAATTTGGAATGCATTAATACAGGGGTCCTCAAACTTTTTCAACGGGGGCCAGTTCATTGTCCCTCAGAATGTTGGAGGGCCAGACTATAGTTTGAAAAAAAAAATGAATGAATTCCTATGCACACTGTACATTAAAAATTAATTAAAATAAATTTTAAAATAATTAAAATTAAAATAAAATTAAACATTAATTAACATTTAAAATAATTAAAAATGTTTGCTTGCTTGCTTGGAGAAGGCTGCAGTGGAGGTGGGGGAGCTCCGTGGCTTTCTCTGAGTAAGCTTTCTCCGCCACGGCTTTGAGTAAGCCACTCCACCTCAGCCAGTCCACCCCTCGACGAAGGCCGCGTGGCCTGGCCACCCTTGAGCTCACATAATTAAAATAGATTTTTAAAGTTATATTTTTCTTACCTTCAATCCTTTTTCAGTTTCTTTGTCTCTCTTTCTCTTCCGCCTCTCTTCTGTTTCCCACTCCATATTCCTGCTGTGTATATGTGTGCGATGGTGGGGGGGGGGGGGGCCGGCACACGCAAAATTGAATTGTTGCAATTTGGGGCTTGCGCCAGCAATCTGCTCAGTTTCTGAGAATGCCTGCACCAGCTCAGAGCTTTTGGACTCGCTTGGAGATTGTTTTCTCCAAGTAAGTTCAAAACCTCTGAGGCAGGCCAGATAAATGAGCATGGCGGGCCCTATCCGGCCTGCAGGCAGTAGTTTGAGGACCCATGCATCAATAGAACCATGGTTTTCAAGTAAGTGGAAATAATAGTTCAACTTTTTTCTGCAGCCCTCATATGAACCACTGTGTCAGGTTCTGGGCACAGTATT